TTAAATGCAGTTAATGCTGTAACCACTGACCTAGGCTTGGATAAAATTTTATTTAAATGAAGGGGTTTACATGGGTTTTCTGACAGAAATATTCCACTACTGTTGCGAATAACATACTTCAGAGTACAGCCCAATGAAGTTACATTAAGTTACAATGTGAATTTAAAACTAGAATGCTCCTCATCTCTATTTAATTATGCTTATACCAAATATGACCTTATTTGGTTAAAGGTAATCACGAAATGCTGTTTACATTTCTTACCAGTATTAGTTAGTGGTTAGTAAGTCTGTGTACATGTGGTCAATAACAACAATCAGCATAGACAAAGAATAACCAATTTGTGAACTAGTCCATTAGTAGAACAGTAGTAATGATCAATGACTCTGCTGTTAAGTAGTGACTACTCAACTATAGGTGATACTGTCCTTGTGTGAGTGTGTGTGAGTGTGTGTGAGTGTGTGTGAGTGTGTGTGTGTAGATGCAGACCTTGATGACTTGGTGTGATTATCCCAGTACAGGACCTTGTAAATAGCTTCTGCCGACACACAGGCAGACGACAACATGTCATCCAGGTGCTTCAGCCTGGTGAAAACAAAAAAACACAAACACAAACACTGTAAGTAAAATATATACTTCGACCCACACATGGATAAATACGTGTACAAATGTCTCATATACATATGACATGTGGGTACAAGCCAGTTTGTAAATCTGTTCCAAAAAGTCCAACTGATATTTTTTTCACTTTAATTTGTCCCTATTTATTTTTAATCAAATGTTTATTTAAAAATGCTTTAATTTATAATGGAATAAAACAGAGAAAACAAGCTAATTTAAATGTGTTCTGTGTGACTACACAGCTGAGCTGTCGCGCAATGTTTTGATGAAGTTTCTTTTTTGTTTTTTTTCTTTAAACAGCCTTGAGGATACACATTATTTTATGTGTTTTGCATCTGTTTTATCTAATTGTGAAGCTGTAACCAAACATTTTTCCAAAAATAACTGTGATGTGGAAGTGATGTGGAAGTGGTGTTAATTTAACATATTTTTTTGAACAGATTTAGATTCAGATCTGGTTTAAATGCAGAACCACAATGCAAGTACACACACACACACACACACACACACACACACACACACACACACACAAGGACAGTATCACCTATAGTTGAGTAGTCACTACTCATCCCCATGCTACACAAACATACATTACATTAGAGCTGAAATAAATGGTCAAGTAATGGAATAGATAAAGAAAATAGATTGGAAACTATTTCTATAATTGATTAATTGTTCAAGCCAAAGTACCAAACATAACCAAGCTCCAGTTTCTCAAATGTGATGATTTGCTGTTCCTTTTTTCATTTTTGTCTTGTGTGGCAGCAAATTTCTTTTTGGTTTTGGATTGACAAAACAATACACTTAAGGACATCAACTCTGGCTTCAGGAAATTGTTTTTTACTATTTGTTGACACATGACTTCAAAAACAATTGATCAAGTAAATGAATCAATAATAAACATCATTTGTTGCAGCATATAACCCCCATCCCCTGCAGTGTCGGTCTTACAGGTCTTTGACTTCCAGCATGGCCTCCTGTTTGGTGAGATGCACTGTTTGCAGGTCTCTGCGGTGCACAGCATAGTAGCGCATCCTCTGGAGCTCATCTTCTGAGGCTCTGCCCACACACCTGTCCTGCAGGTAACCCAGGGCAGCAGGCACACACATAGCCACCACACCCACTGTGAACCAACCCACTGATACCAGAGAAGCAGACACAACAGCAAGTTAATAAATTATTCATGTGTCTTTTAAAACACCAAACAAAAGCTGGATCAATATGAATGCCTCATGCTGCCTGATCTTACCTTCATTAACAGTGCAGAAAAACACATTGAGCAATACACAGACGAGCAGAGAGCACACGGGCATCCTCCATCTGGGGGATGAAAAAAAAGGAGATTGAATATCAGTACTCAAATATAAATATGGCTTTCTGCCATTACTACTCAAGGATCAAAGCAATTATATGACATGATACTCAAACAGGCCACAGACAAACACACATACACACCCGAGCAGGAAGCGGGTAAGCTCCACTGCATCTGTAACTGGTTCTAGAAACAGAGCCATTCTCTTATAGGACACAACCATGTTGAAGAGGTCAAAGTTTGGTGTGCAGCGCGGGCTCCCCAACTCAGAGGCATCTGGGGACCCGGGGGTCTCTTTAGAGTGTAACAGCCCGCTCCCTTCTCCTGCACCCTGTGAGGAGTCCTGGGACACGCCGTGAATCGTCATTCCTGCACAGAGGGAGGAAAAGAAAGCAGGCAGGATTCAGAGGGTGAAAAAGAGTGAAACTGTCTGTACAGCAGGTGGAGAGCAGTGGGGAGCCTGTAGCCTGGTCCCAGACCTCTCAATCACATAGTCTATTATCACACTGAAATCTTTGACTGAATCAGTGTTGTTTATGATTCTGTTGACGCACATTGTATTTTCCTTATGTGCTGCAAAACGCCAACAGTTCATGCAAGCATGAGTCTGTGTGTGTCAAATTGAAATGAAGTGGAAACACAAACCAGCACTGTGCTGATCAGGATGTGGACCACACCCAACAGAGGTACTTAAAACCAGAGAGGGCACTTACTGTCTGCAACCTTAGTTACTCTCATTTTCAGCAGACGCTAATATCCAATAAAAACTACTCTCGGCATTGTACATTGTCATGCATTTTACAAGTATATTCATCATAATCATGCTTCCTACCTGGAACATATTTAATTGTGAACTATTTTTGCAAGATTTATAGGAAAGCCTGCAGCACCGTTTTGAGTCGCTTATGTTATACAGTGAGGACTGTGGAGGGTTTAAGTGGATTTGAACTTCTACTCCATTGAAAGTCATCTTTACCACTCTGTTTATTTCTGAAAGCACCACTAAATTAGCAAGGAAATGAATATTAGGGCCAAGATGAGCTTTTCAGGAACCTAATATTGTTTTCAAAAGAGCTAGCTCCTTTAACTGTAACTACTTTATTCTGAACACAAGTCATTCTAACCTGTAACAGTGTCACAGTGAAATGAAGCAGCACCTCCTTAAACCAGCGCTAAGTGCTGTGGCCATGCGATGCTGTCAAACAGGAAAGTTAACTTAGCTTGCTAACAGAAGGACACAATACATACATACACAATACATATACTATATATAGCACAGCTAACACTACCCACAGGGTATGAAGGAGATAATTTACCCCGAGCTGAGTGTCCAACAAACAGACAACTTGTGAAGCAGCAGCAGCAGCGGCGGAGCTTATGTGTAACTAGCGAGTCCCACCGACATCATCAGCCCGGAGGAAGGGAGAGCCTCCAACATCACCCGGCCCGGTCAACATGACAGCGGCCCGGCCTCCAGCAGGAGCAGTACGCTGTCAGAACGAGGCGCTTTATACAACTGTCGAGCCGTCTGCGGAGCAAACCAAAGGCTAAAGCAGCTGTTTAGTTTGTGGACGGATGCTCGTCCCCGCTAGCTTTGTTAGCTCCGTGTTGTTCTGAGAACGTCCGGTTCCTCTTCTAATCCAGGACGGATAGTTGATAACAGAGAGGGAGCCGATGTCCGATACAATCGATCACAGATGTTCGGCTCCAGAGTTGAACCTCGTGAGTTGAACTGAAAAATTCAGAATCTATAAATATGCTAACATTTTTTATTTTAAAAGTTTAACTATAGGCATAAAATGTCTCCTGCTTCAGTATATGCAAGTTTTTATCACGTCAAGTTGCATCAAGTTGCTATATTGGACCACGCTGTGATGTCCCAGAATCTGTACAAGCCTTGAACTCAGATTTAAGGTGAGCACAGAGAAACTTTTCCTCTTCGGCAGATGGATGTGAAAACAGCTTCCTAGTGTCTGTACATACATCTTTGTGCACAGTGAAGGTCAAACATCCAACTGAAGGAACACTAAGAAATACACATATTTGTGTGGAGGGGGACTGTGGTAATAACCTTGTAATGCAACTGTCTGTCTCTCTCTCTCTCTCTCTCAAATTCAAATTCAAATTCAAAAGGCTTATTGAGAAAGTTTTTTTAAAACAATATTGCCAAATCAAACATCAAAAACATCTCTTTTTTTTTTTCTCAAATTCAAATTCAAATTCAAATTCAAAATGGGCTTTATTGGCATGAAAGTTTTTTTTTAAAACAATATTGCCAAAGCAAAGCATCAAAATACATCTCTCTCTCTCTCTCTCTCTCTCTCTCACCCCAACTGGTCACAGACGACCACCCACCTAGAGCCGAAGGATCTGTCCTAGGTTTCTGCCTTTTAACAGGCAGTTTTTCCTTGCCCTTGTCGCCAAGTGCTTGCTCATGGTGGTACTGTTGGGTCTCTGTAAATAATGTTTTAAAGAGTTCGGACTAGACCTGCTCTATTTGAAAAGTGTCCTGAGATAACTTCTGTTATGAATTGGCGCTATACAAATAAAATTGAATTGAATTAATGTAATGTAATATCATAACACTTCAACAGAGAGAGACACACATTCCCACACAGCAATAATTCATTCTCGCTGATTTTGTCGCTGACAGTTTTGATATACAGTTTACAAGTGAGAGTCGACTACTTGCTGAGAAGGACCATTTACTGAGTGAAAATAACAAATGGAAGAAATGTATGTATGAAAGCTGATCACAGGTAAGGGCTCAGTCAAGCCTACAAAGCAGAGCGTTTGACAGTCAAAACATTACACTGAGATATTAAAGTAAAACTCATCAGTGAAAGTGCTGCTGAAGTCATTCTGTGGACAAAAGCTGTGTTCTGCAGCAGCTGGTGGACATTTGCTGACTGCTCTGCTCTCTCTGCAGGAATTTGGAGCTTTGTTTTCACACTAGGAACGGAGTAACAAAGAGAGAGGGTTGATGATAACAAAACAGGGAATAAAGAAGTATTATTGATTGAGGCAGAGAAGAGTTGCCATAGGTAAACACAAACAACAGCCACTCAATTGCAGAATCTTTGATGACCTGTATTGTACTGTGAAGTTCACAAGCCTTAAACACAGTACACAGTGGGACATTTAGCCATTTAAAGAGACACACACACATACACACAGCCTCTCTGTCCTTATTAACGTGTCCCATCAAACTACTGAGTCGACAAACAGGTAGGGTGCAATGGGACGAGACTGTCTCTTGGGACACTGGAATTAGTTAATTAAGCCTTAATGAGACTGTTCAGCAGCTGCAGCAAGTTTTTATAACAATTCCATCATGCAGCAGCAACGGGGTCTTTTAACACGAGAAGATGTGATGTGTCTGAATTCACACTGTGTGTGTGTGTGTGTGAAATAAATCCATCTTATATATTATTATTCTGCTCGCCAAAGTCTTTACAGTATATTTAAGTGGTTATTGTGTGGATGGGTAAAAGTAGCAGATTTCAGGAACCTCTGTTAGTGACTGGCTTGTGTAGTAATGGATGATCTTTGTCGCCCCCTACTGGCAATCTGAAGGCCTCCAAGTCATCTTTCCTCCTCTGATCTCTGATCTTGGCTCTGAGCTCAGGTGGACTGGGACTCTGGAGAAGCTGTTGTTGATCTGGACCTGGATGCATCTTCTGGTATCACTGACTCTACCTGAGTGCGTTGTTACTTTCCACTCCTGACTAAGTCACACATTAAAATAAACATCAATTAAACTATGAATAAGATGCATATTTAATTATATTATGCACACAAACAAATAGTTACAAAAACAAGATTATCATAAATAAGAACCACAAACTGATTTTCTTTCTTCTTCTTCTTTTTTTTTTTTAAAATATGTTTTGGGGCTTTTATAAGATAGGACAGCTGAAGATACTCAGAAAAGGGAGAGAGGGGATGACACGCAGCAAAGGGCTACAGGTCAGACTCAAACCCTTGGCCGCTGCAGCAAGGACTCAGCCTCGGTACACGGGGCGCCAGCTCTGCCAGGTGAGCCCAACAAACAGATTTTCTTTAATAACCATCATTTAACTGGCACTTGGAGATACACTGACAATTTCCACACGTTTCATATAGTGAAAGCACTACTGAGCCATCATACACAGTACATAGCAAAATGGTTGACGTACTGATCACACAGCCACAGTATCTATACTTTGTCTTTCTACTTGGTCTATTGTAGACACTGATTTAGAGAACATCAACACTGAAATAAAACAGATTGTCTCAGTATAATTTATGGTTTGACCTCAATTCAATACACTTGACTGTTCCTATAACTTGTTGAGATGCTGCTTTCTGGGTGACAGCTCTTAAAAACAATACCTGCGATTTCAAAGGGAAGACCTGGTACAAAGAGGTGAAACAGTACAGACAGGAGAGACCTTGCTATGTCTGTAACTGTAATCTAAAAGACAAACTTTTTCTAGCACAGCTCTTGAGGTCCTCACAGGCTGTCTATCAGGTGCACATACAGTAATGGATATATCATGTTTGTTACATAAGGGATATATCACGTTTGTCCAGACAATTTGTCTGTAAAGCCACACTGTAGAAATTCATAAATTCAAGTTTGGATGTTGGAGTCTACTGTAGCTGCTTGCTGTGGGACCGCTGGTGGAATTTAAGCCCCCCACAATTTCGGAAAGACTTCCCACACAGTCCGCAGATGTAAGGTTTCTCTCCGGTATGGATACGAAAGTGCCTGGTTAATGCCCCAGAGTGACGGAAACACTTGGAGCAGACCGAGCAGGTGTACGGCCTCTCTCCCGTGTGGATGCGAAGGTGAGTCTTGAGGTTCTCCATGCGGTTGAACTCTCGGTTGCAGACCGTGCAGCGGAAGGGGCTGCATCCCGGCGGGAACAGCTGCAGTCTGGTCCTCCTGCTTCCCTCTACGGGCTGCTGACAACACTGCTGAAGCTTCTGCTGGCACTGTCCGTAGTGCCGCCGCAGCAGGCTGGGCAGCTGGAATGTCTGACCGCAGGACTTGCAGGTGTAGAGGAGGTTGTTGCCGAGGTTGCGGCTGGGCCGTACATGGACTCCATAAACCTGTGGAGGGGCTTCTGAGATGGGAGCTGGTTCTTCCAGCTGGAAGATGTTTGGGAACTCTGAGGAGATAGATGGATGATCTGTGGGTGGAGGGAGGTCGGTGGTCAGGTTTGGAGGATGAGCTGTAGAAAATAAGTCAGGTCAAAATCATGTGTGGATGTGAGGGAAAATTTGAAATTTCATCTTTAAGGGTAACTTTGGTGTTTTCCAACCTGGACCTTATTTTCCCATGTTATTGTGTCAAAGTAACTAATGGGGAACAACAAATTTTTAATCTAGTATTGAGTGACTATAATGTAAGTCTACAATGGAAGCCTTGTGGCAATTGCACACCGTCAAAATGGGTCCATTAAAAAACTTTTTGTTTTGCTACTGACTGGCTCAGATTGTTGATGAGAATACACTGCAGCCTAATATGAAGCCTGCATGCAGAACTCTGGCACCAGCACCTGAACACACGATAGAGGACTTTGACTGTCACACGTTAAGCAAACTGGCTGATTACATATGGTCTGAATTGGTTTGGATGGACATTTGATACAATTCAACAATAGCATACTATCTTTTATTTCATATTTCAAATGTAGATGAAGGCATTATTATTATTATTATTATTATTATTATTATTATTATTAACCCCAGTCTGGTTAAGGTTGCTGAGGTTGATGGTATAAAATAGGCATTTTGTTTCATTCACCCATTGTTTCCCTTCTTACCATGTGCCAACCTGGTGGAGGACAGAGGACTGTTTGAGTCTTGGCTCAAAATATCCAGCAATTCTGGTTTCCACTCCTCCAGCATTTTGGACTGGGCTGCTGACATACACTCAGGGCTAAAATCCTCCACTTTAATTGAATCTAAACAGCAGGCTGAACCATTTCTGTCCTCTTCCGGCTTCTCCTGCTTCACGGTAAACTGCTCCAAAGTGGACTTGTCATCCCCACAGGGAAGCAGTGGTGAGTCGCGGTCTTGAGCTGCCAGGTCTTGACAAGGCTGGTTAATGTTTTCTACCATCACCACACACACACGAGACATCTCTTCACTGACTTCTGTAACAGAAGATCACAGGGTACGTGCAGGCAGCAAGGCAACACTAAACATTTCCATTTTTCTATATTTTTCACTGAAACTGGAACATAGGAAAATATGTATATTCTTTAAATGGTCTAGTTTACACCTTTACAAATAACAAATACTTCAGCACATTTTCAGTGGGTGCCTTTTAAGTGAACATGAGAAGTCAACATAAAATTCACATTTGCAGGGTTTTTAGTGTGTAGTGAATTTTTGTTATGGATTTCAATGTTGACTGGTGACCTGCACAAGCATCCATTATATGACCTTCTATATACTGGAAATAAATTAATAAAGCGAACCCGTGTTTGCATTTCAGCCATCTTCGTAACACACGAAATAGCAACTAGCAAGTGTGTCACTATACTTTAACACTCATTGGTAGATTACAGAGAATGTCACCTGAAATATGAATCTCTGCTATATTTCTAGGATTTGATGAGCAGGGGATGACACATTCAGGTAAAACAGGATATAAAGTCTTACACCTTGGGCTGTTTAAACATTAGCAGCCAATCACCAAACATGTTATTGTATTCTTGCTACAACTGTCATCTAATTCGTACGAAGTAATCATTTTTGATTGGTCTGAGATAACTAGGATGGGCAGGGCAAAGATAGGTAGAAGGTAAGGATTTTCTCTTCTATTTATATCTGTAAGACCAGGATGGACTTACAAACTACTTGTAATGCCAGAATCATCCTAGATCCCTCAAAATCGGATTTTCAGTGAACTTTCAGCAGATTCATGTAAAAACATCCTTCTAGCACCAAACTCTGCATGTACATCATTCTGCACAGTGAACCCCAAACATCAACGTACCACATGGCTTACCTTTCAAGTTCTGGGATCAGTGATGTTTGGAGTCTTTGCTCTGCCCATCCTAATTATCACAGACCAATCAAAATGACTGTAGCAAAAATGCAATAACATGTTGGCTGCAAAGAATGAAAGAGCCCAAGATTTAACATAACCTTATGCCCCAACATTACATTATTTCATTACATTCTACTTTACATGGTAGGAAAGTGATGCAACAGAAAACAAGAACTGCTACATACCTATAGCCAAGGCATCACAAGCAACAGCAAATCCACTACTTTCCTCTGGGTCTGAAGCAGCATCACTGACATGCTGTGTCATCACATCATCGCCCGATGTCTGCTCTTCCTGTGTATGAGGCTGCTCTGCACGGCGCTGACCTGCAGGGGGAGTGTCACCTCTGACCCCCGTGCAACCGTGCACATTGCCCATTTCTGGACTCGGGCTTATTTGAGTGTATTTAAGGTGGTGCGGCCGGTCTGTGTGGTTGGAGCCATCGGGGGGCTGCTCTGAAGGAAGAGGAGAGCTTCCTTCTCTGTCCTCCCTGCGCGCAGAGTCCAGCATAGCTTCAGCTCTCTGCAGTCTTTGTTTCAGGGACTCGTTCTCCCTTCGCATCTCCTCATAGACGACTCCTGTTGTCTGACCTAACAGCTTGGTCACCTCGTGAACTGCGATCTCCACAGCCACTTCAAATGCTCCATGTATTGCTGCAACAAGCTCCTCTTGCAGGGACTGCGCAGCCTCGGCTCCGGCTGCTTTTAACGCAAGGGGACGCTTTTTGGTCCCTATCAGTTGCGGCTTCATGTTGCATTCAAAGGCACTTAAATATGTGCAATGATTCGGTTTAAAAAAAAAAAAAAAAAAAAAAAACAACAAACTCGCTACAGACAACAGGATTCCACAGCTATGGATGCCTTGTACCGCTACAGCCTGTTTATATGGCAAATGCAGAGGTTTCACTTCCGCCGACAGCTTCTGACACCTGGTGGTGTAAAAGGGAACTGCAGTAGTTATTAAAGAAATAGAGACTGACAAAGTATGAGAGAACAAACTCAAGTTTATTATGTTAGCAAAGGTTCAAATGGCCGATGTGACAGCAGGCATACGGTCTTTAAAGAAGTGTCAACGGTGCTTCAGGGCCTCGTCCATCATTCACGGCTTTTATAATGCTCCAACTGGGAAAGAATCCAACCAGAAGGTCCGAGGACGGCCAGAGTCATCACAGCCAGGACGAAGGCAGATTGCTGTAGGGCATATAACATGTCACTCTCATGAAATTAAATCAACGAACATTTTAAAGTCAAGACATTTTCCAGCTACCGGGCAAAATGTCAGTAAACTTTTTTACGTTTGTGAACTTACCACTGGACCAATGTTATCTTTAGGTGGTTTGCCATTGATATAACCTGCTCGCTGTTCAATCATTGCACCCGTCCTGAGAGCAAGAGCCCGTGGGGCCCTCAGCAGTCCGACAAACAGCACACACATGTTTGGCTTGGAAAGAAAAAAGGCTCGAGACTAGAGAAACCACCGCTGTAGAGGTTGGGGGGAGGTAGGTTCCGCGCGCGCTTTAAAGCAGCTTTCCAGCACCTGCTAATTGGTCTGATTTTAATTAGGCTGCCTTCAGGAGCTGTAGGAAAAAAACAAATGAGAATTTTCTAAGGTCAGCGTGCATGTCTGAAGTTCTGTGTGTCAGTTCTTCTCATTAGCAGTTATTTGAAAATAGTTTCTTGTTAATGATGTCATACATTACTTTAGTCAAGAACATGTCGAATAATATGTCAAATGCTGGCTGACCGGAGTATTTCATTTACTGATTATTAAAACTGTTGATTGTTTCAGTGCTTTTGTAAAGTATTGTGTTGTTTTATGAATTTTAAATTACTGACTGACGAAGTCGCATCACATAGGTCAAACAAATAACATCTCCAGAAGCATAACATTGTGTTGTTATGGTGCATCGTTCATATAGTTCATATCCACAATGTCATGGACTGTTTTCAAGAGAGTGTCAAATAGATTTTATAAAGATTTACTCTTTTCACACCTATTTAAGTTATAATAATACAAATGAACACGAATATATTCTCTCTCTATATTTACCTAGATAGAATATATAGATTCTGCCTCTATAATTCTATATTTAACTCACATTTCACACAGTAATTTGCAGTATTTAATATGTTAAGAAACTACATTCAGGCTGCAGTCTGAATATCTGAAATGTGAAACACTGATATTCAAAATTGTGCCACGTGGTGGCTACTTGTTATACAAATTGAATATATATTTTTCTTCATGAAGCTAGGCTAGTTAAACAGAAATATACAAAAAGCTGTCAGTATAAGATGTGATGCAATGCAGGCAACAGGCACTGGGTATCAGCAGCAAAGGTCAGTTTGACTAACACTGAGCCGGATGGTTAAATAGCACACCCTGTAGAAGAGCACTAATGGTACACTAATGGAAATAAAGCTACCTGTAAATATTATATTCCATTTCTGCCGATAGATCCTAAATGTTACACACTGGACTTTAAATAGAGTTGAAGAGAGAGATTGGTTTGCAGTGTTTGGCCATATTGCAAACCAATCTGCATTTGGTATAATAAAGTTAACCCCTAATGAATACAATGTCAGACAAACAGTATGTTGTTAAATAACACCTGATGCAGTGTAGTAACTTGTTGAGAGTTTCCATTTATTTTATTTTAACTTTATAGTCCTACTCCACTACAATTTAAAGGAAATGCTTCATTTTTAACACAGTTAGTAGTTACTTACTTTGCACCAACTGGTTTGCAGATTAACATACTTAAATATGAAACACTATAGGCTAAGGAAACTGTTTACTTTCTCTATGTGTGTGTGTGTGTGTGTGTGTGTGTGTGTGTGTGTGTGTGTGTGTGTGTCTGAGGAGCCCATTAAAGGAACCAGACTGTTTTAAATAGCAGGAGCCTATAATGTGTCCTGTCTGTCTTGGCCTCTGCTAGTTTGTTATGTGGAACTGTTTTTTGGGGCTCTTTGTTTTCAGGTAAGCACCTCAGCACTGACGTCATTCATGGATTACTCTTTGATTATTCCTTGAAGTTCCCCTGAGGCCTCACGCTACTGACGCGCCAGGTCGTAAGTGGGTCGGCTCAGCATTAGCTGGTGTGAAGGTTGTAGACTGGAGGCTGGTTAGATAATCTGGTTGCCTGTTTGCTGGTGGTGCAGATGAGTTTGTCTCATTCAAACTGCAGAGGGGAAGGTAAGCACTCTCACTATACTACACACTATACCAGTGTTTCAAATTACTTGAAGGTTTTTACCTGTACTGTAATCTAAACTTAGTCTATAGCCTATTTCTTGCAAGACAGCTGTGAACAATATCAGCCAGGATACTTTTTAGGGAGCTGATTTAGTTAATGGAGATGTTAATGGACAGTTACAAGAGAGCAAGGTGCTATTTGCTATTTCAGTATGACAGAAAAACTGAAAAATACCAACAAAAACATACTAAGCACAAGTTTAATTATCCTAACAGTTTAACTGTTATTTATTCCATTGCTAGTCTGTCACTTGTAGGAATAGGTAGACTACTGTACGGCAAATTTAGATTAAATCACAGAGCAACTGTCTGGTTCCCTTGTCCTTATATATTGTCTAGTTAAAAACTTGAATCTCCAAAATGTGAGTTTGTCATGAAATAGCTGAGTTAACCGCTCAAACCATCCTGTCAGAAGGATACGTGTGGTAGAATTTATTCATACAGAAGGCTGGGACACTTAAACTGAATTAAAAAAATTAACATCATCAGGTTTGGATATGTCAGTCATTAGTCAATGGACAGAAAATCATCTGCAATCTGTTTAAAGAAAAATCTGCTGATTTCAGCTTCTCAAATGTGAATATGTCCTGGTTGTCTTTGTCTACAATGATATTAGATTGAATTTCTTTGAGTTTGTGGCTACTGGTCGGACCCTAACTCTGCAAGCACTTTGATTATGTCAACTTGAGATTTGGAAAATGGTGACGTTTTTCACTATTTGCTCATATTTTAAGGCTCAAACAATTAATCAAGAAAATAGCAGACAGTTTAATTGATAATGAAAATGATCCTCTACTGCAATACACCAGTGTGTTCATGTGCATGTTTGTTACCTCTCCCTAAACACTTAAGACCTATAAGATAAGATAAGATAAGACTATCACACAGGAAGGGGTGGCTGAAGTAATTAGGTTTTTTGGCATGGAAATGTATCTACTGGCTGGAGCATTGAGCTTTTTTTTTTAGCTCTTTTTAATTTGATCAACTTGGTCTCTTTCCTTTCTCCCCCTTCTCAGCTTATCTTACCTTCCCCCTTGATAGTGCCCTCCACCCTCTCTACATGGCAGAGGCACCAGTGTCCACCTCCTCTGAGGATGGTCTGCCTGTGCAGTGGACATTTTCCAATCGACGCAGCAGGAAGCCAGGATGCTCCAACATCTTTTCAGGGGTCAACCTTCACCAGCTGCACAGGCTGTTCCGAACAGCAGGGGACAGAGATGCGGAACATCGGGCGAAGCTGGTCTGGCGAGGGATGGATGCAGATGTGGAGGGAGCAGAGGAGGCGAAGGAGGAGGAAGGGGAGGAGAGAGAGGACGAGGCAGGGCTGGCCCAGGCCTTGGTGGGGCTCCGAGTCAGAGCAAGGAATAAAGCAGGCATCAGAGTTGAGGGACACAGAGATCACAAGTGGCTCAAAGCGTCAGGATATCTCAGGTAAGTGACAGGCAGCCAGCAGAAAAGGAAAGAAAGGATGTAAAAAGTGATATGTAGCTGAGGAGTTAAAGCTGCAGTAGGTAACTTTTTATAAAAATGGTCATATTTGCTGAAACTTTCATTATATCCTGACTGTAGTACATGAGACAGATAATCAGGGTTCCTCTGGCTCCTCCTAGTGCTCCTAATGGCATGTGCAAGAATCCACCAGGCCTGAAAGAAAACAAGCAGTCAGAGCCAAGAAAGAGAGAAAGACACTTTGGTTTGCGTCTTGAAGATAATTGATTGCTGAGTTTCATTCCCGGCTTCGGTATTTTGATATTTGGTAATGAGACTCAACACGGTCGATTCATGCAAAAACCATTAGGAGCACTAGGTTGATCCAGAGGAAGCTGATTTGTTTCACAGATAATCTGTCTCATGTGCTACTGTCAGGACGTTTCCAGCAAATATGACTAAAGTGTTTTTTTTTTTTTTACAAAAGTTACCTACTGCAGCTATAAAAGGAAAAATAGTTCTCTGTTCTCTCCCTACTTAGCAATAATCTGTGTACTGTCTTCTATCGATGGTATAAACAATGATCTGACCGTGTAAATATTCAAGATACTTTAGTCTAGACTCTCTCTCTGTCTTAAAATGCAATGTATAAATTGTCATGTGCCTAACAAACTAAGCATGACCTCACAAGACTGTGTCCTCCTCTCTCTGCATACCACTACACAGACACACCGTCTCTCTCTCTCTCTCACACACACACACACACACACACACAAACTGTCATGCTTTGCTTTCGACATTCCTCACTGAGACAAAATTAGATTTGTTGCAGGAGTGAATGAAGTGCAGCAGAATAGTAAAATGGTTAACATGCAGACACTCTAAGATGGTGAACATGGCTAACATTATACCTGCTCAACATCAGCACTTTAACATAAATGTGAGCATGTTAGCACATTGATGATTAGCATTTAGCTCAAAGCACCATTGTGCCCATATAAACAGCCTCACAGCTGCTGGAATGGTTGTAGACTCATAGTGCCACCAACTTTACTACTGCAGCATGATGTTTGTGCTCTGTTATATAGTAAGGTTTTGTCTAACTTGCCCTCCATCCCCCTCCTCCCTCTGGCCTGCGACATGATGTCAAAAATATTCATATACAATTAAAATAAAAACATAATTCTATTTTAAAAAGTGTATTTCATTTGGAGCAAAATAATGGCAAAGGTCAAAGGTGGCAGCAAATGTGTGTGAAGGTAAATAAGAAGTTATATTGATATAATGCTGAGATCATGGCTGCATTGTGCACAGATAATAATCAGAGACTGTGCAAATACATCTTCCGTTTCTTTAGGACATATAGTGTGATTCATTCTTGAACACTGAAACTTAAACATTTGGCAAAATAATCCAGCCTGTGGAGGTTTTTCAGTCATATTGTATAATCTTCATCAGTAATCTTGGCATCATTGGGTGTTTCAGGTCTTTGAACATCATACCGACACTTCCAGGCAACCAGAGGTTAATCAGACCTCAATATGTGTCCGGCTGGCAAACTAGCTACTTCCTCCTCATGGCTCTCATGCTGCTCTTGAGCCACAGCCATCTTGAGGTTGCCTCCACTACTTTTGGTGTCACAAATAGCTCTTTCTCCTCCTTTCTCCCTCAATGACCAGTGTGCTGCATACACTAGACAGAGCTCTGGCAGCTAATCTTGTACAATCGACTTCGACTGGCACAAATCTGGCTCTCCCACAGCCATACCCACATTAGGGGAATTAAGGTTGAAAAGAAACATTTGCGACTTTGTGCTAATGTCAACACAAATAGCCTCATTAGTAACCTCACTAATAACAATTAGTACTGTGCATATTTGATGTTTATTAGGTCAAAGGTTTGTAATTTACACAACCACTTCACATTCCACAACAGCATTTTTATGTGGGAAAGTATCGTTAGGTAGTTTAAGGTGCTCAAATTGAAATATGCACAGCAGGCCTGTAATAGTTCAGCTAATCCAGAGTTACTTCTCTTCCAGGATTCAGGACTCATCATCTGGCTGCACTGCTGAGGATGAGCAGGCCGACACACCGCCCAGTCCGGGAGAATTGCTGCCAGCGACTGAGGAAAACATCTTAGAGAACCAAAATCCCTTCAAACCCTCCTCATGGAGGTTGGATGTGGCGAGACAGGAGTGTGCCAGACACTCTGAACGCTACCTTCACCGCATCCTCCACTAAAAACAGACTGGAACGATACACAGTGGTTGAAGATGTAATACAGCTCAAGTCCTGAAATACAGGATGGTTTGGAAGGACGTGCTGTATTATAGATAACCAATCGCACTCTGGTTTTTATTTGTTTATATTCTATTTTGTTGTTTGTCCAATTATTTTATCAAAATATTCTATGCTTTTATTTATTTACTTCTACCCTCCAATTTATCTCTGTATATTTATTTTATCATTTCAGTGTCTCTTTGTAAAGCACACGTCAGTGATCTATAAATAAACTGGACTTGACAATGCATTTTTGAAGTCACACCAGAGAAAGGCGTCAGCTGGACAGTTGATGTTGCATTTGCCAGAACACGGTATATTATCATGGTGAATGGGGGAGGATATTGTAACTATGCATTACTTTTTTTTTTTTTTTAAAGCACTTAAGTACATATCTAACTTGGGATTTTATGGGTTTTTATGACAAGAAGTACATGGAGCAGGAACACTCACTTAAAATCATGATTAGACCGAGCATGAGAATATTATTGTTGGACTTTTTTAAAATTACCTGCATTTATAATTATAGCCAGTGTGCATGGTCAGAATACGGTAAAGCCACAGTGCTTTGTGTGTGTGTGTGTGTGTGTGTGTGTGTGTGTGTGTGTGTGTGTGTGTGTGTGTGTGTGCGTGCGTGCGTGTGTGTGTGTGTGTGTGTGTGTGTGTGTCTGTGTGTGTGTGTGTGTGTGTGTGTGTGTGTGTGTGTGTGTAAACCTCTCATTCACAAACACACAACTCATTTGTATTAATGGAATATGTTTTAATTATAATCTATCATTAAATATTACATACAAATTATACAGTGCATTGTCACAATACATTTCATGTCAGTTCAGTACAGCAGGAAGTCACTTTGTTGTTTACCAAGGTCCAACCCCACGAGCCAGAAAATGAACAAAAACCAACACAGCCGAGACGAGCAGGAGCTTGTGGACTGGGACTCACCAACCCCCCCTCTGCCTGCTTGCAGACGAGATAATGTGGTCCTCTTCACCAATGATTTAACTCATCAGTGAAAGAAGAAAAATTAGGCGAGCCAGTCATAAGCTTAACAAAGAGTTTGTTTCTTTAACCAAGAGTGCTTCTGCTTTCCAACATCACCCAGATGGCTTACAGATCCTAATCTGAACAGTTAGGAGGAGCAGTGTGAAACTGTGAAACCAGTTCACATGGCTTGTGTTCACTGTGTGACATACACACCAGTTCCTAAAAATCTTCAAAACTTAACCACCATGAACACTTCTCCTATTTATAAAAAAAAAAAAATTAAATGCCAATCTTTACTAGTGGCACCACTGCTTACCCCAGCCCAGGGCTCTTAAATGCATGGGAGGGAATATGTAGGTCAATGTTACAAGGCAGAGAGGTATGAAGAGAAAAACAAAAACATGGAATGCAACACCTCCCATCCAAAAACAAAGCACGAGAGGCTTCTGAGCAGTGTGCATGTGTGTGAGCAAACATTGCGTGCACCCAGGAGTCCAAAAGACAAGTCTCGCTGAAATCTTTCTCTCTCGCAGGGAAGGTACAGAATCTTCATCATTTAGGCGTTAATTCTTCTTTGACATCCACACAAGGCACAGAGGCAGATAGGGAAGATATGTTATGAAATTCTTCCTCTTTTGGCCTCATATCTCTACGCCCACTCACTCTTTGTAACCAAAATATCCATAAAGAGAGGAGGGGAGGGGAGGGTGATGACTAGTTCCATTTCCAGAACAGAAAACCTGTGCTCTCACATTCTGTCCCGTCTTCCATCTGCGCATCAACACTCCTCAATCCCTTTCCTCGCTCCGGCTTCCTGCTGTTCCTCCTCTTCCTCTTCGTGGAGTCGCTCCTACCACCAGGTGAAGAAGGGTCTCCTGCTCTGGAAACTCTGTGTGTAGGACTCACTGTTGGCTCTCTGAGGTGCTCTGGCTGTTTCGACGATTACTGGCGGCATCTGGACCAGCTGCAGGGGTGTTTTACCATCCTTCAGGGCTTGGCACAGGTTCAGGATCTTGGAATAAAGGAAGAGAAAGAAAAACATGTTAAAACAAAAACACTTAGGTGAATTTATGCTTTAAAGCAAAGAGATTGACCTCACCTGCCCCCTCATTACGGCTACTTGTTTGTGAAACTGTCCTCTGTCGAAACCAGGGTCTTTCTGTGAGACACAGCAGATGATAAACAGATGTTATACATAATGTTCACAGCCACAGAACTGAGTCACCTTTCTCTCCATCTCACATGTCCTCTTATTTATTTCCCGCAACCATTTCTCATCCACATTCTCACATTCCACTTGCTTACATAATTTCCACGTCATTCTGAAATGATACTGAACACTGAATCCGAATCCCTCCTTACCTTGAATAATTCATACAAGTCCTCTTCCAGGTCTTTGATGAAATTTGGGTCGGAGAGTTTGGGCATGACCAGCTCTCTGATTTCCTGGGAGAAAGGAACTTTGGCCTGGGAAAGCCACGCCCAGTAGAACGGGTCTGATGATTGGACAACAAAACTATGTGTTAATGATTATGTACACTACCTGTCTTTACAGCTGGAAAGTTAATACTACAGCGATGCAATAGCTGATGCATTTTAGCATGTTTTGGGGGAAATCTTTAAAGAAACATTTGCAATCAAAAAGGGACAAAAAGAAGAGTAATAAAACAGAAATATCAGAGCAGTGACTGAAGTATCCGTGTTGGTGCTTACAGGCTCTCCAGGAATCAGGGTGTTTGAGGGGGAAGGCGAGACCGTTGTCTATAGCTGCCAGCTTGATGATGGGATCCTTTACTACCACCCAGTCTGTGTCCTATGGAGATATATATATATATATATATATATATATATATATATATATATAAGGTATCAATTAAAGACATATTCCACCATTGGGATCAGCATTTAAAAAACATTAATGTCAACACTGTGTCTGTGTCCTCACCCTATTCCCAACAGTGTCCATGGGACAGTCATACTTCAGCAACCAGTTGTCATTTCCCCTGTCTAGAAGAATACCAAAGCAAAATGACTCTAATTCAAAACTCCCAATCAAACCAGAGTAATGCAGTTTGTGCTGAGCAGTGTGACTACGTGCCTGTGTTCCTGATGATGTAATCGAGGACTACAAGCCGCTCAAACTGCAGCTGGAGCTGACGGTTGGTGTTTTCGGGCAAAGTCTCTGCTTCGAACCTCCGCAGCCAGAAATCTGCATCCTTGTATCCATCAACAAAGAGCTGGAAGGAACCGACCTGGTCGAAGAGTCGGGGTCTTTCTGTTAGACACTGTATTCTCTGGAGTCTTTTACACTGTAATGCCCCTGAAAACCCTTCACACAAAATGACTTTTTTTGGATTGAAAGCCCCAGAATCAAAATGGATCTTGTAGTGAAATTACTAATTATTAGAAACTTTTAAACTGTTGCTTTTTTGTATTGTTGTCATTGTCACAGCAGATTTGTGTATTTCCGTTGCAGCTAAAATGAAATCTTATGTCAGAAATTAATTATAAACACATAATAACTTCTAGACCTTGGGTGGCAGTCCAATCCTGTGGAAGCGCTGGCCCACTTTAGGCACCTTCTCCAGGGCTAGCCTCTTTCCTCGAGACTTCACCCTGTCTATGGCACTGTAGTTGAATGTTTCACTCGCCAGGTACACAACCTATAGTGCAAAAGATTGTTTAAGAGAGGGGGCATTTGCCAAATAGTTTGCTGCTTTTGTAATGCAGAGGCAGCAGCGTGCGTGTTTGTACCTTGGTCCTGGGAACGATGTTGAGCTCCAGTTTCTGATCGACCAGGCTGGCCCCAGCCTCAGAGAGGTAACCCTGGTTCAGGACCAAACAGTCGCGGCCAAAACAGCAGGGACAACACAGCTTCTGGAGCCACTTAGTCCACTTTGGGTTCAGCTGACCATAGGGCTCTTCATTCTTAGGTTTGAACACGCCGATGATTTTCTGTAGAGGGAGGTAGAGTGGAGAAAGTGAAAGTTGGGGAAGAGAGATCAGACAGAGAGGTTCCAAATCCAAAAAGGAAATACGTTCAGGTATGGTAAAGGTGGAATATGCTGCAGGAGTGTTTTAAAATGATATTTGTTATACAGTAAAACTTAAGATCCACTGTAACTGACTGAAGTTGTTTGTGAAAAGTACAAGCAAAAGATAAATTATGGGTGCAGTATCACTTTTAAGTTATAGAAATCACATGTTGCATTACGCTATTACACACACACACACACACACACACACACACACACACACACACACACACACACACACACACACACACACCGATTACGACATGAAACTTGGCCATTGAAGAGAATTATATCCTCACAGAGAGCTAGCACATGACTACTAAGCACACTGGTGACTAACTACAGTAAGAAGTAAGACGAGTGGGTCATTGAGTAAAAAACTAACACACTCAGCCTAAAATACTCTGTTTTGTAAGCTTTCAGTAAATCCAATGACACACTTCCTTTTTTATAACTTGGACTGAACACAACAGTGTAGATAGGGGCACAGTTGGAAGACTGTATCAGTGTGTTGCTCAAGACTTCTGCTGGATGGCTCCAGCAGTACTGATCAAAGTTTACTGTCATTAAGCTGGCATGATTAGAGAAAGTCAGGAGGTGTTGTGAAGGGTGACAATGCTCTATAATTGTCAATTGTGTGTTGATTGCCTGTTCTGTAATAGCACTTTGTAAAACACTTGCAAAAATAAACAAGTGCTGCAGCAAACATGCAGACATGTGCGCTCAGCATCTTCTGTTTGATTAGATATTCAAGACTTTGTGAAATAATGGGTGACGAGTATCTTATCTGTGACTGTGTTGTTTTTGTTGACAAAGTCATTGTGACAGCTGGTCAGAGATGGACGTTTACTGACTACCTGCCTCAGCAGAATGAGCTGAGATGAACACCTGCCAGCACAGCCGCAGTCACACTGATAATAAAAGCATTTAAGGGGGAGGTGAGCAACTGGGTCAAAAAGTTAATTCAAGAAACACATGCAAAATATATACAGCTTTGGTGTAAGCCAGCTAATTTTACAAGTTGTCTGTATGTTTCTGATTAAAGGGGTTATAGGGTGAGGGAGAGGGTGAGGGAGGGGGTGAGGGAGGGAGGGAGGGGGGCTCTGTATATCACCAGGAAAGCTTACATCACCTAAACTCTTTAGGGTGCTACAGGATGACTTTGACTACAATTCATTTTTATAAGAAGTCATTTATCCAGCCAGGCAAGTGGTTTGCTCCATTGACTCTGTCAGTGTTGCTGATAAGTGCTGTATGTTTATTTATGAACTGGCAGACAGCCCAAGCACCACCTTGGTGGAGGATTAAATGCATTATATTATTTTCCATTCTAAGAACTGGTTGTTTATTAGTTTAAACTGGGAATTGTAGGTTCACGTTGTGTTTACATGCCTTACACCCTATTTGCCAAGTCATCACAGACTAGTTGGAAGAGGCCTTTCCTAGAAGCCACTACAAAACAGTCTTTCAGTCATTGCATCAGACACAAACACATTTCACAGACCACCCATAACACAGCTAAACGGACTGTAAGCATTCCCACAACGGTCAGTAATCGGTAGATATAAAATATGTTAGCAGCTTCTCGTCTTACCCCCTGTGAGTCTTTCACAAAATAGCTTCCACTGGATCCTTGGTAGATCCTCTCCGGGTAGATCCCCTCCTCTATGGCTCGCTCGGCCTTTCGGATGATCTCTCTGAACTCGGGATCCTCCGGGAACTCGTTCCTGTGGGGCTCCCGGGGCGAGCTCCCACGGTCCCGATCCAGAAGTGGCTGTCTCTCACGGCTGCGCCCCGGACTGCCGGCCGGGATGCGCACCACCGAGCCCGGTGTGCTTCCAAACGCGCCCCGGGGACTAGTGGGCTCTGTGGGACAGTAGCTGAAATCACCGGAGTCCCGGAGCGGAGAGACAAGCGGACTCGTCTCGTCCATGATTTTGGAGGGGGGCGGGAAGTTATTTTAACTCCTGGAGAAAGCGAAGAAACAGAAAAGAGGACGAAATATTAGAGGGAAAGAAAGTGGGACGGTTGTTTTGTTGGCTAGTACTGACGCTGGCTAACAAGGAAACATAGGGAAAAAAAGAAAAGTCAGATGACTGTCAGCTTCCGGGAAGAGGCGGGACACGGTCAGTGTTTAGATTTTTAACCAATCAGCGTCCAGAGGGTCCAGTCAACAACCTAATCTCCTGCGCTGATTGGATAGAATCATTCTGCCCTCAGAAGACACGTGACACCACAGTTAACCCAATCAATTAAATCCATATAAAAAGCCTTTGATAAATACTGAACAATAATCGTTTTACTTGCAGTTATCAGATTGGTAAATCTCGAGAAAACATGTTGGCTCCGTGGTGTGATTACACCCTACATTAACAGAGTGACAACAGAGTGATTGTATTTGACAACGTCAAGATTCAATGGATTTGGATAATCATCAATCATCTACATCATTTTTTTTTTAGTTTAAACTGATTTTAGTTTTTTATTTTATTTCCTGTGTCCCAGGACAATTTAATATCTTCAAGATCAGCCTGTTCCTGTTTTTGTTCAGTAATGTCAACAAGTATGTCTTAATAAAAGCCATAGAGGAGGAGCACTGTTTCACTGAGAATGACATTGAAGTCTGACTGCAGTCTGACAGTGAGACAACCTTCAGACTACACTTTGAGTGTCTTGTTGCTGAGAAGCACATTGGTTGTATTTGTGATGACACAACAGAAGTGTAGGTGCTGTTCCATCTGCATGGCTGTGGTGGTGACTCATTTCTCCCTGCCAATCAAAGGAGAGCAGCAGCACACAAAAAAGTTAAAACGCACGGTATTGTGGGGAACATGTGGGTAAGACTTTTGCTACACATTAACTCTCTTCCAGTCCTTCCCTGCCTGCTGTATTCTACCTAACAAAGGCAAAATAGCAAAGGCATAGGTTTATAATGATGGTCCCAAGACTATGGACTCTTGACTCCTTGTTTTGCTCCTATAAATGATGAATGGCAAATTGTTACTACTCCCACTGACATTGGAAGGTCAAAGGTCAGGGATGGTAATATCTGATTCAATTCAATTAAATTCAATTCAATTTTATTTGTATAGCGCCAATTCATAACAGAAGTTATCTCAGGACACTTTTCAAACAGAGCAGGTCTAGACTGAACTCTTTCTAACATTATTTACAGATTTACTGATCTCTTGTAATTTAGTGTCACAAGCAACACATCAGCTGGGCAGATTCTGGTTTGAATGAGGGTCTTCTGAAAAACTCAAGACTGCCACACCCCAGCACAACCAATCTACTTTGAAAATCCAGTGAGTAATACAGTCAGTGTCTGTCATAGCTGGGGAAGTCCAAGTCACGTCCATGAGGTCCTCATTAGTCTTCATGAGCAAAAAGCAAACTCTTTCAGGTCTCTGACTTACCACTATAATAGTAAATGAATACGTTTCTTTCAAAGCTGTTTAATGTGTGTTTTTCTGTGTTCAGACTTAACAATAAACATATTATCTGTAATAATCCTCACTTTCTTTGTAAGGCTGATCCAAGTCCAAGCTTAAACACTGCCCCACTTGGTGTTTATGGGATGATGAGAATAATGTGCAGTTTGCTGGTGCTGCCTCTCAGATAATAAATAAAAAAGCAAATGATTAGAGATGTTGCTGTTGTTTGGGCAGTCTGTGAATATCTTGTGACTGGTATTTGAAGATGTGTATACGCTTTCCACTTACTATGATGACCATTCACGAGGTTTATTGGTGTGAAAAGGCAGTTTCTCCACACTGATGCTGTAACTCCAGCCTGCAGCAGGACGCACTGCTGGGCGTGTGGACGTGCCGCTGTGCGCATCCTCCTGCCTCCCTCCTCCTCCGGCGCTCACAGTTCGTCTTCTGATTGGTGGAAACCAGCAGGAAGAGAGCTCGGGTCGTGAGCTCTGCCAAGTTCGAGACCGACCAGATAACTCTACAAACCTACACCCGCCGCAGTCTATCCCTCCAGGCTACTAAGAAAATACCGCGCCCGGGTCTTTGCAGCCTTTTTCGGAGTTGCAGCGAGATCAGGATTAATCTGCGGACACTGCTGCCGCATTTGAGGAAGAGTCACTCACTCCAAATATTCCGGAAATACAGCGCAGAGGGCATCGGTGTGAGGATGGCTGCGTACAAGCTGGTCCTGATCCGCCATGGAGAGAGCTGCTGGAACCAGGAGAACCGCTTCTGCGGCTGGTTCGACGCGGACCTGAGTGAGACCGGGGAGCATGAGGCGAAGAGAGGAGGACAGGCGCTGAAAGGTACTGTCACAGGGCCTAATCGGGCTTTCTCTCGGTCATTGGATTAAGCCGTTGCGAGCTTATGCAACTCTGCCGGATGGGGAAACAGGTAGTCGGCCCACTGCGACACAAGACTAGCCAGCAGCAGGGGAGGAGAGGGAGAGAGTCGGGGGAGGGTGGTGGCTAGATCATTGTATTCTTTATTGGGCTGGATGGTTCTGAAGAAAGACATAAACTGGAGTGGGCACACATTTGTAGGAGAATTTAGATGTTGTAAATGGTTGAATAAAACCTCTGTCAGTCTGGCACAGAGCCCATGATGCTCCCACACACCAGTTAGACAGTATGGAGGCCCTTGGTGCTCCATATTGTAGGTTTCCCTTACCACAACCACTTCCAGTAAAGAGAAATGACAAATGATTTAATGTGTAATGTGGAATGAATGTATCAGCAGAGGTGCCATCTACTGACAGATACTCATGGGGATTTTACTGGAGTGTAGGTACTTTTTCAAATGTGCATCTCAGACATACTCATTCAGATGTAATGTCCCACAGATTCAGCCACAACTTAGACCAACACTAAACACTGGCATCTGATGACATCAAGTCAAGTACAAAATGTGGTCACGCACTAACAGCAGATTATCTGTATTTGTGGAATAGCGGGTTGTATCAAAAGATGTCACTACTTTTAGGGATGATCAATGGAAAGATTTGTCTTTCAGATCTGAGGATTAATGGAGAATAAGACCAGACTGCTGAGCAAAGAAGTTTCTGATATCAGTGTAGATTACTGCTCTTTACTGAGGGTAATGCTGCTATCCACTGTGGAGGGGAAAGGGAAACACCAGAACAGTTTTACTGTACTCCTTTTAGCTGTCCACATTATATTATTCTAGGTGTTTCTTTCTGTTGGTTGCCTGTGTGACCCAGAAATCCTCTGTGGGCACATCCTGCAGAGTCCCATGATGTAGCACTGCCTTTGACTAAGCAAAAGCAAATGTATAAATGTTAGGAGAGAAGCAGTACACAGCGCAGGCACTCAGTGGGTTGAGTGTAATGTAGCTTGAATCATAATTTTTCCTCTCTGTAGCAAAAAATACATTTGATTTGAATGCTGCCCTGCACTTACAAATGCCAGTGAACACTTGCATTTATTGTCTGTTTTGTGTCCTGTCTCTGATTCCCCTCAGACGCTGGCTATGAATTCGATATTTGCTACACCTCTGTCCTGAAGAGGGCCATCCGCACCCTGTGGTTTGTTCTGGACAGCATCGACCAGATGTGGCTGCCCGTCCACCGGACCTGGCGCCTCAATGAGCGTCACTACGGTGGCCTGACTGGGCTGAACAAGGCTGAAACCGCAGCTAAACACGGAGAGGCCCAGGTTAAGATCTGGAGGCGTTCCTTTGACATTCCTCCCCCGTCCATGGATGAGGATCATGATTTCTATCAGAACATAAGCAAGGTGAGGCCACAGGAGAGTACTGAAGGGTCTTTGTCTGTTATAAATGCAGACATCTTTAATACATCGGTCTAAGTCTACATCTACAACATTAACTTTCTCTTTCGTTGTAGGACCGGCGTTATGCCGACCTGACCGAGGACCAGCTTCCCAGCTGTGAGAGTCTCAAGGACACTATCGCCAGGGCACTGCCCTTCTGGAATGAAGAGATCGTTCCACAGATCAAAGAGGGAAAAAGGGTGCTGATTGCTGCCCATGGCAACAGTCTCCGGGGCATCGTCAAGCATCTGGAGGGTAAGAGACAAAGCGGCAAGAAAGTTTGCATTAATTGACAACCTTAATATTATTCAACACTGAATCAAGGAGTTCCCTGTGTAATTAAAAAAATGAAGGGGGTTATTTTATAAAATCCCAGTCTGAACTGATTACAGATTCTGAAAAACTCAATTGGTGCAGCCTGAAGTATTTTAATTTCAGTGATTGAGTCTTTCTTATAGCTCTCTGTGGGACTCATACTTGATTTATCTCTAGTGTTGCAGCTTATGACTTTCTTTTAATTAAACTGAATTTATAATACTACTGCTGTTTCAGCTGAGGGTTTAATTTCTGTCCAAGTGTTGAAAATGCTCAAACAACTGGTGACACAACATTGTAAGAAAAACAAATAGGGTTCTTAATTTTCTTTTTACATCAGGAACACTGTCAGCTCCATTAAACCCCCGCCTGCTTCTGTGTCTTCAGGCACGGTCACATTTACCATCTGTTCTACAAAAATGGGACTAGTGGGTTTGATGGTTAGATAATATCCATACCATCCATTAAAAGCACAATATTCATCTGTCTTCATTGGTTGAAAAAACTTTGATTGGGTTTCATGTGCTTGTTACACTTTAAAAACATTTGTGAACAACTTTCGTTTTTGCCATCATACTTGGCTAGCATCAGCTGTTGAACACCTAATAAACCATTTCAAATGGTTACATCTGTTATTCTTTCCCAGGTATGTCAGAAGAGGCTATCATGGAGCTGAACCTGCCCACAGGTATCCCCATTGTGTACGAGCTGGACAAGAACCTGAAGCCTTTAGGACCCATGCAGTTCCTGGGAGATGAGGAGACCGTCAAGAAGGCAATGGAGGCTGTAGCTGCTCAGGGAAAAGCCAAGAAATAGATTATCTCCCCCACCCCCCCGATGGGCTTGAGTATAGATCAATCATCTGCTGTTAAGTTATCAAGTTATTACAAGGTCATTTACCGTTACTGTTGTCATCACAGACTTGCGCACACACAGACATACAATGTACACTTTATTTTGATAATACCCAGCTTTCACACAGACATACAATCTGAAGTTTGATTTGATTGGTCTTTACATCCTGAAACATACAGTTCATAATTAGACAATGGATATCAGATGTAATATGGTTTAAGCACTGACCAAAATGCAAAATTAGGGACCAGCGAGAGGAGCAAACATAGACTAACCCTGCAGAGTCGTTCCCAAGTATTCCTTCCTATTTACGATCCATGTAGGTGAAGCTCAGAGGGAACAGTATAGTCCTTAAAGTAACACTGGCTGTTGTTAAAGTTGATATGCTCTGCACTGCTGATTTCTGTTTGCTGTGGAATTGTGAAAAAATGAATAAATGTTGTGAACAATTATGTGATGAAATATTTTACCAGCGTCTGATGTCATTTTCCAGTATACAGTAAGTGTCCACTCTGTCCTTAATAATTATGGTTATGAAAAAAATGGTACCGTCTTTTATAAAAACTAATAGTAAATATATTAGTTTTAAAAGGAGACTACATTACATACATGGAGTGTATTATTAGAGCGATGTTATACTGACCACAGGATTAAATAAATACATAAATTATTAAATATAAATATATGTTATTAATAATAGATAGATAGATTGATAGACTTTATTTATCCCGAGTGAAATTCAAGTATCCAGTAGCATACAAAATACAAAACATACATGACATACATTATAACATTTACATTTTACATTTATTTACATACAAATAAACATAAAAGTACACTGTAAAGTTGCTATTGATGCGACTAGTCACTATACTAAGAATAGTGTACTTACAGCTACATATGAAAGAAAGATACAGACATTCAGATGCTAAATAACATGCACACATCAACAAATGAAGCACAAATCTGAGTCTACTTCCTCAAGTTGATGCTTTAGGACAGAATCTGCAAATGTGAAATGATTGACACCGTGTTTGTCATTGTGTACTAAAAAAACAATGTCTTACTAGATTGTAAAGTTTACCTGGTACTAAAAGACCAGTGTGTAGACTTTAGTGGCATCTAGTGGTGAAGTTGCAGATTGCAACCATTTAAATACTACTCAGCCTTCCAAGGGCATAGGAGAAACTACGGTGGTCGCTAAAAAAACAGCCATGAGCTACTGTGTACATGCAGGTTCAACATGGTAGCCTCTGTGGAAGAGGACAAACTCATTCTAAGGTAACAAAATCATAACAGTTCCTATATTCATGTGATTATACACAAATGAATACAGACATAGATTATATTCAGTCTCCTAAACTGGACCTTTAAATTGGAAAATTCCATATTAATGGACAAACCTGCCCCAAGTGGCATCTTTTTAATTGATTTGATCATTTTCAATAATTAGAAAATGATTGTTATAATGAATACATTATATTTTTCTTATTATTTTACGTTGTTGTTTTAAAAGTAGAAGTAATTGCACATATGTAGGACACTGAATTTCGTGTGTATGTTTGTGCTATGCTGCTAGAGGCAGCGGCGTTGCATTAACATGTGCTTGTGCCTCAACAAACATGGCGGATGAAGTAGTCCTTCTTTTACTTCCTGTCAGTGCAAGACCGGCCAATCAGAATCGACGCGAGCCCTTCGTCACAGCCAATCGGCTGACGAGCTCCTCTTCTCGAAAACATGTCGCCCATGAAGCTGTGTGTTCCAGGTGAGTCCCGTAAATGTGTATTTACTCGTACTGAGGATGAGTTAAACCAGACTTTAGGGCGTTTGTGTCATGTTACTCATGTTGGCTCTAGTACACGTCGCTGTGTTGCTAGAAAATAACCGACAGTGTGAAATCGTGGTAATTATTTACAGCTGCCATGCGTGAGGTAGACTTTGGCTTCAAGCACATTTAACGTTATATTCGGTTACTTTTTCATGTATGGCGAGTTGTATGGGTTGAATATAAGACGGCGTAGGTGTGTTCAGGGATATTACGTGCCATTGTTTCAGGGGTAATTATTGTAATACTTATGCAGGGCTGTGAGCTGTTGACTTTTACTTTCCACGGCAGGTTTCCTCTCCAGCCCTGCCCATCGCCTCGGGCAGGACAGCAGCATTCCTTCTCACTTGTTTTGACTCATGAGAAATCCTCTCTGTTATGATTGTGTGGGTTTACAATAGGAAATGTCAACGAGATGTGAGGTTCGATAGTGACCTTTAGACATGTCAGTGTGCATGGAAACACCCGTTTTTCACAGTAACATGAGGTGAAGTCAGTTGCCTGTAAAGATGATATATTAGAATTTAATGTTAATGCTGAAGTAAAATGGCTCCAGATAGGTGATTCTAGAGTAATAATGGTCCTACTCAGGTGTAGGTTGTATGAGCTTATTCATATTCTCTGTGCAGACAGGTCTGTGTTTGGTTCTGGATAAGTTTTCATGCTTCAGGGTGTTCTTCACAGTCTCAAAACTAACCCTGTCTTCAATCTATAACTGTATAAAGTTCTTGTTAAAAGTCTGGCAATGCATACAAAGTTAATACGTAAATTGTCTTGGGATCAATTGAGGTAGCAGATGACAGCCTAAATAGAAGCCATACTCAGTAAATATATTACATTGTGTCAGTGAAAGAGAGTCTCTGCTTAAGGTCTTCCCACAAAAGTATCTTATTCATATTTTTTAGCACAGATGTTCCACCTCTACTACAAAAACTCTGACATACAGTATGTGCAACTTTTTCCTTCTTGTTTGTCTCCAGGTGACAAGCTATGCAGTGTAGAAGACTGTATTCCCGGCACAGGGGTGTACCTGCGGCACGGCTACATATATTCCTCACTAGCGGGCTATGTGCTCAGAAAAAACGAAGGAGAGGAGGTGAGGGGTGTGGTGGGGAAAGCTGCAGAAGCAGTAAGGCATGTAGGTGTGCCAGAGTGAAGTTGTTGCGCAATATTTGTGAATGTGACTGAACTGAAATAGGTTTGTTCAGCACTGCGTTAAAATATGCGCTGTATTTAGTGTGTGACAGGTGATTTCTCCAGGCTGTTTTGAACTGGAATCATACAAACTGAAATTGTTTTCTGTGACCTGCGTGTGCATTAATGTTAATGTTATTTTTCTTATCTAGTTACCAGTGATCTCAGTTGTCAGGGAAACAGAAACGCAACTACTACCAGACGTGGGAGCAATAGTCACCTGTAAGGTATGCAATGGAATCAGATGCTATTTGTCCTTAATTGGATGATTAAATTAAGTGATCTTGCACAGATAAGATTTATTTTCAGCCTTACTGTTCTTTGGTTGGACAGGTGACTAGCATCAACCCCAGGTTTGCCAAGGTCCACATCCTTTATGTAGGCTCCACACCACTGAAAGACCGCTTCCGAGGGACAATCAGGTAACCCCCCCCCCAAAAAAACTTCTCCATGCTTAAAGTGTTTTATGTCATATTTCCCTGCATCATTCCCAAAACTGAGCCCCCTCTCTCTGTCTCTACAGAAAAGAAGATGTGCGCGCAACAGAGAAAGACAAGGTGTGTTTGACTCCACTTATTTAATCAGATCATTTACAGTATTCTTCTGCAGCTTCGTTACTGATCTAAGATGCTCTTTATTGTTACAGGTGGAGACATACAAAAGCTTCAGACCTGGCGACATTGTCCTGGCAAAAGTGGTATCCTTCACCTGACCTCGGGTCTAAGGCAGATAAATAGCTTTTTCAAGAGACGGATTTCAACTACTCGGCTCATTTCATTTTTAAAGATACTAAACTAGACTCAGAAGGACCTAGGTTCAGCAACAACAAAATAACCTCCAAAGAAGTCAAGCCATCAGTTATCATCAAATTATATTATCATTTCACTATGAGTGAGTGGGGTGGGTGTATACTGTTTACTTGTGTGGCATTAACCCTTGACGTGTGATGTCAGATCTCTCTCGGTGACGTGCAGTCTAACTACCTGTTGACAACAGCAGAGAATGAACTGGGGGTGGTGGTGGCACACAGTGAATCAGGTAACTCTCAGTGCTCAGTTAAACAAGGTGTTTTCTCTTTCTTCATGTAAAATATTTAAAAATGCAGCACAGCAGATTGACAGTATCCTGTTTGAGCACAAGGTGGTAGTAACAGTCCAGATAACCTGAGAGAAGAGTTGCTACTGTACATAATGACGTCATGTTATTAGTCTCAATTTTATCACCTTTCACGTCACGTTTTCTTTTTTGTTTTTCAATCAGGGGCCCAGATGGTTCCCATCAGCTGGTGTGAGATGCAGTGCCCACGGACACACACCAAAGAGTTCCGCAAAGTGGCGCGCGTGCAGCCAGAGTATCTACAGGCCTGAAACATCTTTCTTCCACTTGGAACACACAGCTTCCCTCCCTCCTTGTCGTCAAGCCTCCCGACTCTGTTTCCTGAGAGACTGACTGGACGACGTGCATATCGCTGGCTACTTCTGGTTTCATGTCTTTCATAAGTTTTTTTTTTTTTTTTTTAAATAGCTTTCCCTCTGCACATTGTGTCATCATTCGATTGTGCCAGCTAGAAAAACAAACACAGAAGCAGCGCCAGAGCAAATTGTCAGGACGTATTCTAAACGGTGTAGCGACTGTTGTAAAGACAATTTAAACTAAATTCAATGCATGTGCCAGGAACTGGGGTTATTTTAAAGTTGCCTTTAAATTGCCCGATGGAAACCTGTTTAGAACTGTCTGACTCAGTTCACTCAGTGTGTTACATTGCAGCTGCCAAACTTTCTAAGTGACCACTATGTTGAGTTAAAAGCATCAGAATTTTGCACGTAATGAAGAAAGGTGTTCTTCACAGATGCTGGATTCACTCAGTTTTATTATAGAAGTATTATAGAAGATCATCATGTCACTAGAACGATGAAGCATGTTGCTGGGTGCATAAATATGAGGCTTGGTTAAGAAAAGGTCCAGGCTCCATCTCATGTAAAGACAAAAAAAACTCAAAAACATGTTGTAACGAGAGAGGTTGTTCTAAAGGGAGCGGCTGCATTTGGTCTGAAATAACGGGGACATGACCAAAGAGCGCTGCACTTTGAAACCTCTTTTGAATGATGTAACGTGTAGGGCTGTATTTTATTTTATTTTTTTTAATGCCTTGTCCATAAAAGTGATAAAAAGATTAATTTAGTTGAAAGATATTTTAATCTCCGCAGGCTGGTTTATTTTTTGTCGCTCCTTTCCAACTTTTCCAGTCTCAAGTAACTGATGGACAGTTTAAAAGGCAAATGAATGTGATTTAGAGCCTAACGTTCAATCAGAATTACAACAGCTACCATGCACGGAATATTGAAGTACAACATGTGATAGTCAAATCTTTTTTTTTCCCTGCACATTATCAAAAGTAAAAGCTTATGAGCCTACAACAAGCAAGCAGTTCCCATTTTATCTTTGAAGTAAAGTGTACTTTGATTTTTCTTATTCTTCCTTCACTTTACAGATGTAATTCATGTGCAAGATTGGAATAAAATGACTATCAAAACCACCGTCATGTTTCCTCTTTATTAATTTAAGGGATGTGCTTTTGTTTTCAGTAATGAAGGTTTAAGTGTGTTTCAATTTTAGCTGCTCATCTATTGGACTGGAGGGAAATCGCCTTATGATCAAATTACCTCAAACACAAAAATGCTGCCAGTATTCTTTCTCTCCACACACTGCTTAACATCCTTACTATCATCTGTCATGAAACATACTTGAATGTGTGGGAGGACAACAGTATGGGTAAAATCAGTGTGTCACCTAACACTGCATCTTATGGTTATGGTCACTGAAAGTAACAGGATAAAAAATTCTAAAGAATTTAAGAAAACAGTTTCAGAAAAGTGTTCTTGTCATGTTCTCACTCTGGATCTGAAACATACAGTGGATGTGTTAGCTCACACAGTGGGACTGAAAATCCTGCAGAACAATGACCTACTGAAATCACACAATAATTACAATCTCTCTCAGTCCAGCTCCTCAAGCAGAAGGATGTTTAATATACAATATGTACAAATGTGTTGTCCGTTCAATCTCTAATACTGACCTATATACAAGTCAGAATAATAGTCTTGTGAACCTGAGTTACTACAGTTAAAACTGCACATACAAAAAAAACCTAACCAACCATACACACATCTCTACAAACGCACACACACTTGGATCAGTCATCAAAGCGAACTGATCGACATGTATTGATGTCGATGGAGAACTTCTTATTGGATGGTGCACTGAATCCGAGTCCTGCGCCTCTGTTACTGAAGTCTAATCTGCGCGACTGAGCACGTTCAAAATCTCCCATGAGCCCTTGCTGCAACTGCTGCTGTGCATCCTTCCCCAGTGCCATGTTTGCTCCTCCAGTGCTCCCCGCAGCCGGCTGGAAACCCTTTTTGAAGCCGCCCATCAGCCGGAGGAACTTCTGCTGCTGGTCAGAGTTGTCGAACTGGGCGGTGCTCCACTGGCCGAAACCCTGAGGAACAGAGACAAATATGAGACACTACGTGCAGTAAAAGAGCTTTCCACTGATTTTACAAAGCAGTTCAGTTCATTTTACTCGTCATGAGGTGTGCTATAATGTCTTCCACAGCTCTGGAGTCTTGAGAAAACTTGCTTGCGTTTGTCCACTACAAATTGTAAGCCTGTGTTACAGACTGGGGAGGTGGAAAGCTGAGGGCATTCATCAGGGAGGGTCTAATGAAGATGCTACTGAGTTGCATTATAATAAATGTAGGATGTAGTGTTTTCTGTGCGTCACCCACAAAGGGGACTAAAATCAGGACACCTCTGACTCTGCTGCATCAATTTTTACCTTTCTTTCATGTGTCTTGCAAGTCCTCAGATTTCCTGAAAGTGCAATACTATAATACCATTTTATTATCTTTTACGAGAAAGGCGCTAATACTGACCAGAGGTTTGGTTGTTTTTTTAGGTTGAGAGGCCTGGTCAATCTCCATTTGTAAAGCCTGTCTTCTTTCCTATGAAAAACCAAAACACACTTCATCAAGCTTGACTGAATAAAACAGACATACCAAGCAATTTACAGAGTGAAAAAAGTTAAAATACCATTAACAGACAATTATATGTTGGCTCTCGTTACAGGAATAGTTCCACATTTTGGGAAATATGTTTCATTTCCGTGCCGACGAGAAGGTTAATACCACTCTTGTGTGTTAAACTACAGCCAGGAGACGTTTATCTTATCTTAACAATCAAGATATAAGTTGTTAATTAGTGAGCTTTAGAGACAGTGGTAGGCTGATTTTTGGACAGAACCAGGCTAGCTGTTCTCAGTTTCCAGTCTTGGTGCTAAACTAAGCTAACCAGCTGTTTGTGGCAGCTTCATATTTAGCATACAAAAATGAAAGTGGCATCAATGTTCTCATCAAACGCTCAGCATTTCCCACAATGTCAAATTGCATTTATGCATAACGATAAATATCACATTTAACACAGTGATGGACTACAGGGCTTTTATTGTCCTGTACTTATCAAAGGCGAACTCAGCGTAGAAACATGGGGCTGGCAGCAGCAGCAGCTCCGCAGCAGAAACACGCAGCAGTTCAGCGAGGCAGCTGTCACACACTGATGATGAGGGTACTGCCTGTCCAGCCTGTAATAATGAGAGCCCTGTTTACCTGGTTGATGGTGACCTCATCAGTGTTTCCAGATTTCTCTGACAGGAACACCACGTCCACCTGGGGTGACTCCTGAAACACAGTGAAACACAAGAGAGGTTCACCCCCCAATGCAAAACATAAAGAGCATCAGTGCACATTGTCAATTGCCTCTGAAAACACACACTCACATGCTGGTCTTCCACCTCTTCTTTAATCTTCTTCTTCCTCTTCTTTTTTGCACCAGTTTCAAAACTCACATTCTCCACCTGTGTTTCCACCTTAATGGAAATCTTCTTCCTTTTCTTGTTCGTTGTGTCCCCAGGTACTGTGATGACAGTTTCCTTACTCTGCTCCTCAGCTTCTTCACATTCTTCCTCCTCTCCCTTTGACTTTCCCTTTTTCCTTTTCTTCTTCTTTGGCTCTGTCTCTACTTCGCCGACCTCCATAGAAACTATTTTACTCTTTTCTTTTTTTCCTTTTTTCTTGCTGTTGAGCGTACTGTCTCCTGTTCCTGCTGCGTTTCCATCTTCTACAGTTTTAGTTTCTTTCGTTTTCTTCTTTTTCACTTTTACTTCCTCACTCATCTCTCCCTCTGGTGTTTCTAGCTTCACTTTATTCTCAGCCACTTTTGTTTTAGCTTTATTTTTATTTTTTGTTACACTCACGCCATCCATAGCTTCAGCAGTTTCCTTCTTCTTCTTCTTCTTCTTCTTCTTCTTCTCTTTAAAATGCTCCTCAGTCTCCTCTGTGCTTAGAACTAAAATGTTGTTTTTTCCCTTCTTGTCTTTCTTTGGCAGTTTATCCTTTCCAGCTTGCTGTTCTTCCTCCTCTTTCTCTATCTTTACATGTTCGGGTTTAGTTTGTACAGACTTTGTTTTTACTTTCTCCTTCTTCTTCTGTTTCTTTTCCACATCTTCTTCCTTTACTGAACTCTGTTCAGTTTCCACTTGATTCTCATCTTCAGCCAGCTGCTGCTTCTTCTTCTTCTTCTTTTTGATAACGTCGTTGTCATTTTCATTCTTGATATCAGAACCATTGGCATCATTCGAAGACTCTGTGACAAATTTCCTCTTCTTTTTCTTATTCTCTTCCTTTTCACCACCTCCATCCCGAGACTCGTCTTCTATATCTATAACCACTGAATCAACTTTTTTACTCTTCTTCTTTTCTTTCTTCATCCCTGCAAGGCTCTCATTGTCAACAGCATCATCAGCTCTAGGCAGAGAGGCTTGTCCTTTCTTGAGTTTCTTCTTCACAAAATTCTCCTCACTCTTCTCTTCCTCCATCTTCATTTTAACCCTTTCCACTGGTTTCTCTACAGAAACAGATGTTTGGCCTGTCTGGTGAGAGAACTACAATTACTGCAAGACAATACCTTTTGACAATAGATTAAACTGAAGAACCAGGCTCATATACTCTGTGTGTATGTGCAAGTGTGGCTAACAGAGCAATAAACACTTACCAAGGGTTTGGCTACCTGTTTAGGCTGGGACTGCTGATCAATGTCTCTTTGCAGAGCCAGTCGCTTTGTCTGCAGGGGACAGAGCAGATTGGGCTGAAATGTTTATAATCATAAATAAATAGACCAACACTGGGTGCATTGAAAATCACTATTTTATATATCAACAGAGTAGTTGCAGGTTCTACTGGTTTAATCTTCAGCTGTGGACTACTTGTGATTCATCCAGGCTGGGTGTTGTGTTATAAAATGTACATTTCTGCAACTCTTAAATGAATTCTGATTCAAGATGTGACATCTGATGTTGCATCTGACGTTCATTACCTGGTCAAAGGTGATATTAATGAATTTAGGTGCAGACTTTTCAGCAACAAAGATCACCTCCTCATCATAATCCGTCTGCAACATACAATGAACACAGCGTCCCGGTGGTGTACGTGGACGTGCTGTCAGTGTTCATGAGTGAGATAACACGTCCATGGCACCTAAAAATGGATGCAGACATGTTGAGTTACGACAACTTGAATGAGTAACAGTAACAACACGGTCACTTCAGGCAGAATGAGAAAGGTTTATTCATAGCACACTCTTGGTAACCCATGCTAGCTCGCAGCAGCTAACGATAAACAGCAGCTTAAAGGTTAAAACGATGAAGAAACAAACAAACAAACCAGAAACACGACCGCGGCTATTTGATGACAGCTGCTAATGTATTAGGAAACGTAAAGTTGGACGGTTTACTTACTTTGCAACCTCTGATACTTCACGTGGATACCAGGTTGCCGTCTTGACCCGGAAGTAGTTTCTGCTCGTTCCTGTTAGCGACGAGCCAGGAGTCCATAGCAACTAGCCGGGAGCCCATAGCAACCAGCCGGGAGCCCATAGCAACCAGCGCGAAGATGGGAACATGAACTGGTGTTCAACAGGTATAGTGGTTTTCCTTTAATTAGGGACCGAGCCAGCGGCCGCTGGAGGTCCCAATTGTATTTGCTATGTTTCTTCTTACTTATTATTTTTAGCACTTTTGACTGCGTTTTTGCCCCCCTGAACATATAACGTTACGAAAAGTCAATTTTATTTGGCAAAGTTGTCAGGCCTGGTGAAAAATTTGATATTCTATGTGTCTTTTTCAGGTCGGCCACTAGGTGGCGCTACTATTTAGGAAAGTATTTTCACTTTTTGGTTACTAAATAACTTTTGCATATTTTGTCGCACATTCAAAAAACTTTCGGTGAATGGAGCTGAATCTTCCTATATAGGCCCCGCCCACTTCCGCCTATAATTTTTTTTGTTAGAGCCTTAAATGTCCTTAAAGTACATTTTCGTGGTCCTCCTACACGCTTTGTCCGATTCGCACGAAATTTTTCACCTAGCACCTGGGGACTGCCCTGGCAAAAAAAGTAATTTGGACCTTTTTGAAATTTCAAAAAATAAGCGCGCTATAAAATTAAGACTTCCTATAGATTTTTCGTCAAAAAAGGAAGAGGACCATTTCTCAACATTGCTATGTCCGATTGACATCAAACTTGGGTCCATAGTTCCCTCATGTCCTCCTTAGGCACCGTGCACAATTTCAGACCATCGCCACTAGGTGGCGCTCTTTAAAATTAAGAAGTTTATATCTCTGCAACGGCACGTGTGATTAAAATCAAACTTGGTAGGATGCTTGCCCATGGCGCCCTGAGGCTCACCAAAAAAGGGAAAAAAAATCAGGCCACTGGGTGGCGCTCTGGTGGCAGGATAAATCACTGTGCGCAGACCGTAATAGTTATGAATATGAAATTCACAGGGCACGTGTAGAGTAGTGCCTGAAGCTCACATACCAAAAATCGTGTTTGTCGTGTGTGTAGCGCTCCCTACAGGATAAAAAAACAGCAGCCCCGGCATCACGTTTCACCGATATGTACGAAACTCGGTAGGCACGTGTTACATGCCGGGACGTACAAAAAAGCCTCTTGGACCCATACCCGAAACCCCACAGGAAGTTGGCCATTTTGATTTAAAGTTTCACTTTCAGCGAACTTTTCGCGTTGTATTTGAACGAACTCCTCCTAGGGAATTTATCTGATCTGCTTCAAAATCGGTGAGTACAGTCACAAAATGGTGCTGATTAAAAGTTGTGCTATTTGTGCATGTACGTTGAACGCTGTATCCGTGGCGTGCCCTCAAAGTTGGCCATGGTGAATTCCGTGCGCATTTTCGGTGATTTATCGCGTTGTATTTGAAGGAACTCCTCTTAGGAAATTTATTGTATCTGCTTCAAAATTGGTCAGTACATTAAAAAAATGGTGCTGATTAAAAGTTGTGCTATTTGTGACGGCACGTTAAAGGGCATGTCCGTGGCGTGCCCTCAAAGTTGGCCAGGTTTAATCAAATGTCAAACTGTGATTCCATTTCCGGCATTTAAGGGCTTCTGTTTTAACTAACCCCTCCTACAGATTTTATCAGATTGACTTCAAATTCGATCACTGCAATCTAGACACATTGGTTATCAAAAGTTGTGCTATTTGTGACTGTATGTTTAACCACGTGCCCGTGACGATATGTCGAATTCCACCGATTGGCCATCAAACAGATATTACTCATATCTTCAGTGTACAGTCCCACCCTGAACACGTCCTCATAACTTCAGCGTACATGATCCAATCTCAATGAAACTTCACGTGTTTGATAACAGTCCCACCCTGAACACGTCTACATGACAATATTCAGACATAGTGATCGCGCCACCTACTGGCAACAGGAAGTAAGTGCTGCGTGTCGATTTTGAGCTGATTTACGTGAAATTTTCATGTTGTGGTCCGCACTTGACACAATGGCACGTGACATGGCCGCAGCACGCCCCGAGTCGCGTGGAGTGCGAGGTCCCGCCCAACGCTGCTTGCAGCTTTAATTTAGATTTAGTCTGTTGGTTTTAACTATTAAAGACTAATTAATGAATTACATTCTAGGGTAATGAAAACACAACAATTCTTATTTTCTGATATTCTATTTGTGGCAACAAGTCCTCCTAAATGTTACACACTGTTACACACAAATACTTAAAAACTACATAAAATGAACAGTAAACGAACAAAACACAACACAGTTCATTGTGTTTTAAGCAAATTATATTAACCAGTGGTTAATATCACTTCATCTGGAGCCTGAAGTAGGAAGTAGTTCCATATATTGTATTTAATAATTAGGTTAAAAAAATATACGCATACACACATAACGTTACTATTTTACTTACTTTACGGTGTGTGTGTGTGTGTGTGTGTGTGTGTGTGTGTGTGTGTGTGTGTGTGTGTGTCCTTTCACTTTGAGGGAACAGTGCATTGATTTGTTCACTGACGTATACAGCAAAGTGAATGATGTGGGCACTGAGTGATACACCCACCCTCTCATAAACTGCATATGCCCCCTCTCTATAAAGTGTGGTGAAAATAAACACGCTGTAAATAGGGTGGCACTTGAGCTTTCAGTGTGTCAAACTCAATCCTCAACTCACTGGATTATCCTTCACCAATGACAGTTCTGAGTAGTGAGCGGGACTAGTATAGTATACATATATAGTATAATATATATACTGTCAATGGACTAATGGTAAGGAGTTCTCTCACAAGTATCGATCGAGGCGGACGCAGTTTTTAGAACCGGGCGCCACAGTTGCTCTCTACCATTAACAGTGTATATAAGCTCTCTACCATTGACAGTATATATAAGCTCTCTACCATTGACAGTATATATAAGCTCTCTACCATTGACAGTGTATATAGCTACCGACTGAGAGACCCAGGGCATGACGGGAAACACCTGGGTGTCGCCTGATTAAACAGCTGATTGGTTCTTAGTTTTGACAACAAACACCACGTTTTTTTATGTTTCTGTGTGTTTTTATGTATCTGACTGTAGTTTAATTCTTGATGATCAGGATCTATTTGGATGTAAACATTCCTGAGACCTCCTGTATATTATTTGAAGTTTGCTTAACACTTTTGTCTTTGGACTTTTTGTACAAAGCTGCTGGCCTTCAGCTTTTGCCTGAATACTTCGGGAATCGATCTAAGCTCCAGCCTCCGCCTTCAGCCTTAGAAGTCAAAGAGCCAGTGCCAGCCAGTGTCTATCTGCTCCTCCCAGAAGCCAGCTCTGATTTCTGCCTCTACCTTTTGCCTCTGACAACCAAGTGCGTATGCATCTACTGACAGACACTGGCAGCCACAGTGTAGGTGAGTGGTATCCACCTTCAACCTCAGCCTCTGCCTGATACTTAACACCACCTTCCACACAAACACATCTTTGCCAGATACATCCCTATCGACTAAGGCTTCCAGGGGCCAGTTTGTCCCTGTTATACCTCTGACAGTCGACAACCCCAACATCCAACTTGCCCATGGCAGCTGTTTATATCAGCTTTCAGCCCATCTGCACCCTGCCTTCAAACTGCAGTCTGAGTTTTAAGAAGCCACTTAGAGCCCCAGCTTCCAGCTAGAGCCCCCAGGAGCCAGCTGCAGTCCCAACTTCCATCCTCCAGCTTCTAAAAGCCCAAATATTTAAGGTGCCATGACTTGAATATAGCACAGGTTACTTTTAAAACACTCCCACATGCAGCGAGGGATTTTAGAACTGCTGCTCCATTGCTATTTTTGATGGATAGAGCTATGGGGGGAACTGGCTCATGATTCAACACATCACGCAGAGGGGAGACATCGCACACATCTTCACTTGGCTCTTAATCAGCCGAACTCCAAACACTTGATACAGCTATATATATGACGTGTGTAAAGTGTAAAACACATTATATAAGAGCAATACTCTAACTTATTTTCTAAAACAAGCTGGGTCTAGAATTACCCTTTAGGGAGAGAGGCTGTAAATAAATCAGTTTCTTTCATGTATGCACTTTGGACATGTTTTAGGAATAATCTTTAATGATAATCACACATGGACATCAGTTTTTGTGTTCCTTGGAAACTGAACTTAGTTCAAATATTGCGTACGACTTGCAGCATTTCTGTATTTTCCAAGTGTTTCTTTGTGTGTTTTACAATTCGCATGTTTTGTTTATTTGCAGCATTATTTCTAAAAGTGATATGTGTGGTGAAGATGTTTAAGGGCTTGTATTTTCTTAAGTTGCAGTGCATTGAGGTCTCTCTGTCACCACTCTGTATTCACAGTAGTAGCTGACTGTATAGCTGCTCCTGAAGTGGCCGATGCCTCCAGTAAAGTGGGTCCAGTAGTGTACCATGAAGGCAGGAGGGTGAAGAAAGATCAGTTCAATGACCAGACAATAATTAACAGAAAATGTGCACTGATGTATTAGCCACTTTGTGCAAATCACATTACAGACATTCATGTTACGCTGCCACAGTCAGTGCTAGGAGCATCTGAAAAGGAAAATACCATTGCTTTTTCACATTTGGATTATATACATGATTAAAACTCAGTTATATAGGGTTAATACATAAAAATTCTGTTATAATTTTCCCATTGTACAATATCAGAGCACACACCTGTACACAAAAGCAAAGTTGTTGGCAACTTAGTTATTTAGTTTAGTCTTATAGCAAGAATAAATGGTCACAACATGAACATGGTGACTGACCTTTGAATTGTATTAGACCTGGATATTTTGTCCTGCATTGAATTCAGTCTTGCTCAGGAGATAGAAACTGCAACCCTCCAGTCAAATATAAATACGATTTGCCTCAGAGTTCAATTATCATTGCATTTGAACAGCGAGAAATCAGTTTGGACTCAGTGCCAAACTTTTCATTGTCACTAATATAAACAGTATACGTATGAATCTGTTCCAGTTCAATTTGCAGTGATGGATGACTGAATGCTTTCTCTATATATATATATATATATATGGAATTGGGTAAAAAGGGATCATGAATGCCAGAATACATTGAGATATTGCCATACATCTCAGCAAAATGTGTACACTAGTGAGTGAAAACACAATGAAACGGTAACTGTCATTTAGTAGCTGTTCGAGAGCTTTCAGTCGTATCACATGGTCTCCCTCTGCAGATAGGGTTTTGTCCAGTTGTCAGGGAGCACTTGAGATTGTTTCGTCGGCTGCTGTTTCCAATGTCAAGAATGAAGTCTGAAACTCAACACTAAAAACTGGTATTTCTCTTCAGTACGTATATCAAAATTCTAGAAAACACTCAAAATACATTAATTCTGACAAAAAAACATTACCTTTAAACTGTGCTTTTACATGCATCTCAAATATCACAATGCCCAGAAAATGATCAGCGCTGATAAAGTGCAAAATTACAACCTCCAACAGTAAACCCTATATACTGCAGCATATATATGGCAGTATTAAATGGCTTTTTATGATATGCTTATTGAAAAATCCTCATCCATGAGCGGTAGACCCATCTTTAGCCTTTTAAATTGTCAGATGATCCTGCAGAACTCCGCACAAGCTCTGTTAAATGCATGATATTTATTAATACACATGGTGAAATGTGCCTGTCCAACAGCACTGATTATGGACTGGAGATATGAAAAGAAAAACACTATGAGTCCTTTGGGTGTTTCCAGCATGTAACACAGAGGCCAAGCAAGCTTTGTAGGCGTATGCATGTATTTTACATAAACACCCTAAAGGCCTTTTTCTGAGTTGTAGCTTGACGCCAAACAGAAAGAGAAGGAAAGTGTCATTTTTATGAAGCAAACATCTCTGATGGCATCAGGAAGTAACAGCATTCGTTTAGCCATCTCAGGCAAATTATTACTTCACTACATTCAGATCATCCGACAATCTTTACTTTACTGCTCTTCAGTAACTGTCCTTCAATACCTACATCCTTACATTGAACACTAGTTTTTGATATACACCTTATATATAATAACTCAAGCTTTAATCTGTGCTGATCAAAATAACGGACTGTAAATGCCCTCGTAACTGCGTAACAAAATATCTTAAACTGTGGAAGCTGTGTCACTTTCTCTTCCCTCTCTTGTGATTTTATTGTCCAGTCTGCAGATAAAGAGGAAAACCCAGAAAACCTCAGCAAAAAATACTGTTAGAGTTGGTCCTTAAAATGTAAAATTCATACGTGTGCAGAAACACAAATACATTAAACACATTTAGCTCCCATCAAATCAATTATGTTTGATATGTGCTGTCTTTAATATCTCCTTCTTCTCCTTAGGCAACAGGAAATTCTACTATTACACCCCAGTGTTACACCGGTGTATCCTCCTCAAGTCTTGTCCCATATTACCATAACCGTCGTCCAGTGTAGTTAATTGGGGCTGTGGGCATCTAAAAGACAGAGACAAACAAGTAGCGAACAGTTAAAATACTCCTGTAGTTAGTTATTTAGTAAATGAGACAGAGTGAAATACACACAGTGCGTGTTTCTTCCATACTTACTGTTCCACCGTTCATGACCAGAGCCATCTCAGTGGGTTGGTAGACGTGACCTCTGAAGGCGATGCCAGGACGGACACTTCCGTGGCTGCTGTGGTATGTTCCAGTTCGGAGAGCTGACGGACCAAACAAGATAAAGCACACACACAGGTTACGGGTGTCGTGCAAGAGTACCCTCCATGATAGATGACTGTGCTACTGACTGATACAAATCATGCATGCATCAAACTCGAGGTTGAGGTATAATTTTCCTACCAGCTGGGTAACTCCGAGGCCCTTCACGTCCATAGTAAACCCACACAGGTAATTTTAATTATTATGGTTAATTAGACCTCCTTGACAGGATTGTGTGGGCAGATGTACTCTGTGCTTGTTTGACATCTCCAGGCCTCTCCTGTATGCTTTGTTGGGCTGGATGAATTACACCTTTATCATGCTTATTGATACAAGGACATTGGTGACGTCATGTAACAGAGTTGTGAAGTAGGAGGAGCTATTTGAGGCGCCCTTGGTTCTGGAAGTAAAAGTCTCATTCTTTTTTCCTAGAGGCAAACTTACCCGACAGCAATTTGGACCGAAAGCTTGACAGTGTTTGATAAAAAGCTGAAGCTACTGTACAAGCCTGTGGACATAAAAACTTCAAGGTACAACTTAACTACGATTCCCAAGGTGCATTTCGGCAAGAAATACCCCTAGTTTATCACCTAGCCTAAAACTCTGTGATATGCACTGCTAACAGCTCACAGTGTTAAAAACAACATTAAATCACAATCTGCAGCTCAAATCAACCCTCTTTTAATTACTGGGTCAGTTTTGTATGAGTTCAGCAACTTTGGCTTTCACTCTAATTGGTGCCTTTGAGTGGCTGTTTATCCATGGCAATGGACGCTGAGGCTCATGGGTGTTTTGAGTCATGCCATGACTGCTTAAAAAGATGAAATAATTACAACTGGTGGCCACAGCATAAACCTATGTGATCATACATCCAGGAGAGTCCAGTTTTTCTGTGTGAAGAAACATTTATCAGATTTTTTAAAATGGAAATACAGAAGAGGATAAACACTTCCAGAACCAGCGGCCTTTCCTTATTTGCAGCTCCAACTTCCAGGTACAGCTCCACCCACCTTCAACCTGAACAGAGCTAACCAGAATCATTAAAAACACCTGTGTGCAGAGCCTTTAAAGTGACACTATGGCTGAAATTACTCCCATTGTTCACTCATTCATTAATCCCTAATTGAGACTCATCAGTTATCTCTGTAGTGAGCAGTAAATAGAGAGTTTGGACACTCATCAATCATCGTCATTTCACGTCATCACTGACAGCTGTAGTGTTGCACAACCGTAATTTTCACATTCTTAAAATGTGGAGCATTGCAACACTGCTGCCACAAGTGAAAATTACAGGATATTGGAAAAATAATAAAATGTCTATTTATTTCCCAACATTGCAGTCAAATGCTTCAAAGACATCATCATTAGGTGGCCAGACTGTGAGCGAGTGAACCACAAGAAAGGGACAACAAACATGTCCTCTGATGAGGTGCTTTGTGTTCACTTATTGTTTTAAAACCAGTGAAATAGTTACATGCTAAACATAGTGAGAAAGAAGTGACTCAATAATGTTTATGTCTATCTGCTATTTTATGTTTTATGATATGATATACAGATAAATCAGGAATCTTGTCTGGTACATGCAAAACCAAAAATGTTTTTGAACAGGCAGGGGTCTGCCTCTATTTGGTTTCTGTTGCTCCAAACCTTCAGTCCCTAAATTCCTCCGAACACCTGCACTGTTCTGGTCAGTGTGACCTCTCCCAACTTGTGCTGCAGTGGGGTGTTGGTTTTCATTGGCCCACAGTGTGTTTTCTTGCTAGATTAGCTTGTGACATGTGGAAAAAATGGACCAGATGTCAGAACTATCGCTGCAGATTGCGAGCCAGAATGGCAAGCTCTGTCTGAACGGGCCAACTGATTAACATGAACGCTGAAAAGAAGCAAACAGTAAAGGAGGATGTCATTCAAATTGTAGGCCTACTCAGTTGTGAATTGTGATTTTAAAAGTAGTTAGTAGGCTATATTAGATTGTGTATATACAGTGAATACTTGAGTAATAGGCCTGAAAAAAGTACTATTAATAGTACAAATATCCCAAAAAATAACTTTATTACAGTGTGAGTAGTTGTAATTTGTTACTTCCATCCCTGCACATAACTCACAGGCTCTACTGCAGAGATTACAGAGAGTTTACTGTCCATTAGGACAAGTAACAGATGCCTTAACCCTGACCTTTCAAACACAAAGTAAATCCTCTAGTGACTAGCTTACACCATGTTACATGGCTTTCCTCCCTGTATGATTGAGTGCAGTTTTCCTCCTCAGTCAGCCATGAATTGGCCAACCAGTATCATAAGTCTCCTGAAGTCTGCTGTCTTGCAAGACGCTGTTTATGATTGCATCCTGCCACTGCCTACACTCTTTGTTTATCCTGGTTGATTATGGTTTAGCTCTGCATCTGTGCATTTGGCATCAGATAAATATGGAGAGCAATCAAAGTGAAATGACTCATACATTTCCCTGTAAGCCTGTTGGATAATCAGGCATTTCATAAGGTTTAATTGGATTTTTGATTGTGTACAGTAGCTTAAAGTGAGCTTCACTTTTTTTTAAACAAACGTACATGGCACTTATGATTTTATGGTGATATGGTCATCTTACAAGTTTAACGATACACAATGGATGGAAGTTTGTTTAGCATTTTTATATTCACAAGTCACATTTGAAATGTGAGTCTGAATCTTTTTTGTTTAAGTACTCACCTGCTCAAGCAAAAGTATGACTGTTGGGTAAACAATAATATGGCTCTTACATACAAAGTTTGGATTATGCTGCATGAGTGGTTTGGGCAGTTTTTATGCATATTCTTCTTTAAGATTTTTCTACTGAGTGAATTGGGCCCAACTTCCAGAGGCTAGTTAGGAGAAACATAAAATAAGGGGCTTAACTGTGAGCTTTTTCTTGTCTATTTTAATAAGATTAAAAGTTTAGACACATTTAAATATTGTAATGATTTTTTATTAAATGCATTTTTATCATTGAACAAGAATTATTTTTTATTTTATGTAATTTTGTTTAATTCAAGTTTTAATTAAATTAAATTCATTAATGTATAATAAATTCATTTAATCTAGATATCATGTAATTGGATTCAATCATATTTGAATTTATTTTAATGTATAATTTACATTTTGAATTTTAATTAATTTAATATCTATTGTTTTTACCAAATCAAATCCACTTCACTGACAAAGACTGGTCACATGTCAACCAATAACTGTAGCTGAAACATGATGTCATCCCTTCTCTTAGTTAGGAGTTCCCTCAGAACAAGTTTCTCTCTGCAGGATTGTAAAAAGCTCTTAAGAGGAAACTCTTTGCTGGAAATTTTTAGTGACATTTAGGAACACTCCGAATGGTAAGATAAGACACTTTGTAAATACAGTACACAATATAGCTTTGAATTGATATTAAAATGTCAGACTCCATGAAAGTTAGTTACTTTAGTTACCTTAGCACAACATTGAATGCAGAAAACAAAGTCTGACGAGGAATCAAGGCAACTTCCATTTTTGTTGTGGGTTTAACAATAACCATCAATAATAATGAGAACAATGTTCTCATATATTATAGTTATTGTTAAACATATTTTGACCTCAACTTAACATGGGGAAAATACGACCCGCTGAGCTGCATTTGAAGGCAGCATTCGACGGAAAAAGATTTCCTTTGAAACAGATTCATGCAAACATGCACAGTGACACACACATATTACATAAGCCTACTTGCACCGTGCTCCTCCATAGAAAAGGCCTGGTTTTCTGGGAAGGGTCGGTGTGAGTGTGCAGGCAGCTCATCTCCAAAATGTGGAGGAGGGGATGTGTGACTTGTGTCGAAGAAGTCCTGCGTGTTGGATTGTGGAGGTTTCCGAAGACACAGGTGCGCCTCTGGTATAGCGTGGAACAGCAGCAGGATCCAGCCCTGAATGACCAAGGCCACTGCCAGCGCGGGCTCATCCAACACCTTTACATCCTTTTTTCCTCCTCCTCCTCCTCCTCCTCCTAATCTATCCCCTTTCCCTTTTCCTCTCATCACCTGGCTGCCATAAAGATAAAAGCCCAGCCAGGCCACCCACAGCAACGCTGATGCCAGACTGGACAGGAAGAGCCAGACGGCATTACACTTCCATCTCCGTTTTTCACTTTCTCCTTCTCTATCTTCTTCACTCCCTCCTGCTCCCTCTGCCCCCATCTCTCCTCCGCACAGCACCACCCCCAAAGAAAGCCCCATGGCGATGAGGAGCAGCCCCAGGGTGTAGCTGCATGTCAGAGCAAAGTCTAACGGTGGATATTCGCAGGCCGGGTGACCCTCCCTAACTACAGTCAGCAAGACCCATTCAGCAGAGATGATCCCCTGAACCAAGGCCAAGGCCAGACCGAGGGCTGCCAGGGAGCTGCCCGATGGGCTCGTCTTGCCAGCCACTAGCCTTCTGAGCCTCACACCCTGCACTAGCAAGCTGGAGAAGCAGAGGGCAAAAAGGGGCCCCCAGAAGGCCCTGCGGACCACACAGAGCGCCTGGTTCTTCCCCACCAGGAAAGCCAGTGAGATGGAGAAAAGCCCGAGGAGCGTGCCCAGCAGCAGGAGAAGAGGCCCCATTCCGGAGCGCCTGGCGGGGTCAGAAATGGAGCGGAGCTTTACTAGCAGAAGCACAGCGAGGACCAGAGAGCTGAGTCCACCGCTGCAGGCCACGGCCTCCAGGACCACACCCCAGACTGACTCCAGGTCACACAGAACTCTGTACGGAGGGTCCACATCCACACTGCATCCCCGAGGAGGAGGAGACGGGTGGGATGAGCCATAGCCAATCAGTGACAGGAGGCAGATGATAATAAGGCTGACAGCCATCTTAGAGACACAGAGACAGAAAATATGTAGTTATGAGGAGAGATGGAGCAAGGGTTAAAGGAGAGAAAGAGAGGGAGGAAGGTACACAGAGATAAACAAGAGGAGTGATGTTTTGGAGAAAGATCCAGAGAGGAGGGAGGCAGGAAGGTGAATGTAGTGATCAATTACAGAATATGCGTTCATACGTCATCTTAGTCAAGATTCACAACATACAGTATAAACAGCGCTCTTTATATATTAAGATCCAATAAACCTGTTATACATCAGAGATTAATATGTTTCTCTCTCCTTCAGACACACACAAACACAAACACAAACACTCACAGCACAGAATAGAGCTGCTTTTAGCACTGGGCAATGGTTACCATGGGAACGGGAAACAGCGTGGGCTGACTACATCGCATACTGGGCTTTTGAGAAGTCGAGATTCAGTACCGAAAAGCACAGAGAAATGCATGGGTATGCGCACACGCATGCACGCGCGCACACACACACACACACACACACACACACACACACACACACACACACACACACACACACACACACACACACACACACGCGTTTGTGCATACTTGTGAGGACCCTGACTCACATAAAGCCTTCTCCAGCCTTAATGTGAGCCTAATTTAAATCTTTACCCATATACCAAGTTTTAACCCTCAAACAGTGAATACATGAGGTTAAAATGTTCTCACTGTCAAGGTCTGAAACTCAAATTGGTCCTAAAAAGGATAATCAGAGCACACACAAACACACACACACACACACACACACACACACACACACACACACACATATAAAATACCACAGCGTTAAAATGATTTAACTCTTCAGTCGTGATCATTCCAAACTCACCTCAGATAAATAGTGGACTTGAGATCTGGATTATTAACAGTGAAGAGGCACCATCGTTTCCCAGCCTGCGTCCCTTCAACTAGTTTTTTTTATAATCCCAGTTAACAAAATCCTTGAGGCAGCAGAAACAAAACAGTTTCCATTTTGTCTTTGAAAATGTCTCTTGTGTCGCTCTCTGCGCTCACAGCTCCCGCTGTTTTAAAGAAGAAAATAATACACTTTGTGAGACCAATAATGTCCTGCTGCTGCAGTGATACGGCCGGCTGCTCCAAGAAGAATCCACAATTATGATGCATGCCTTGTTACTTCACACACCCACATAGTCAAATATATCTTCTGTCTCTCTTTCACTCTTCCCTCTCACTGTCTCTGCCTCTCTCTCGCTCCCTCTGTCCTCCTCTTTCTATTCATTCTGTCTGCATGTCTGTGTGTTTCTCTCTCCCTGCTTCACGCTGAATCTGCGGAGGTGTCAACAGAGATGCAATCCTAGCTTTACTTCTCTTCACCCACACACGGGGAGTATGATTTGCTGATGCACCTGTCTAACCAGGAAGAAAATAGGAAGTAAGTGCTGTATGTAAGCACTGTAATTCGCAGCCAGTCCAGTATTAGTCACTCGTTTGCACATCTCGGTGTTATTTCCTGCCTTCAGGCTCCCACGTCTTCCTCATGCCACTTACACAATTCGTCCTCACACACAGAGCTGTGGGAGATGCAGCTTCATCTTTGATCACCAAAACAAGTGGAGGTCTCTTCAGCAGTTGGACGTCTGTGCGTTGCAGAGTGAAGATGTGCTTTGGATGGGGAGGGGCAGATGGTCAGTCTCAACACAGGTGAGCCCTGTGGCCACGTGGCTGTCCTAGTAGAGAGTGTTACATAATACTCTGGAAGACATGATTCAGCCAAGCCTCCCTTTAGAGTGGAGTAATCTCCTCTCCGGGAGATGGCTTCATGTGGGGTTTATAGAGCGACACAACATGAGAACAACCATGACAAGGGGCAACCATTGTGCTAGCTAATCGAGTCAGTTTGGATCAGCAGTGAGAGAGATTGATGCTGACAGACACTTGTGAGCTCAGTGAGAGATAAAGGCAAAACACGGGAGAAGCCAAAGCTGGTTTGTGGGACACAAATAAACTCACAGACAAACAGATGTAAGCAAAGGAGTGCTCACCTGCACCCTGCTGTGTCAGTCAAGACAGTCTAATCCAGATAGGGAGTCCTCGCATGCACATAAGCAGCAGGAGTGACTGCTTCGGTTGGCGATAGCAGAAGAATGGACTGATCAATGGGTTTTTCAAAACTGTCCATTACATACATTTTCCAACCTCTTCGTCCATAGTCCAGGTTACGGTGTAAGAGTCAAGTTCATTGTCCTCATTTTATTCACTGACTTTTAGGGAAACGTAGGAACGTATTTCACAGCAGACATTTTGATTTGTCATAGTAGCACAGGTTTTACTAATGGCATTAACGATGATCTGTTCTATTCAAGTGTCCAGTAAGTCATTCCAGTGTGACAGTGAGCCAGCGTGCGCTCTACCTGAAACTAAAGCAGCTGAATAGGATTCATTTAATTATGTACACCTGAGCTTTTTCTAATGTGACACGTCAAAATGTCCTCTGTGTCACAAGTCTGTCCTGTCATCTTTAGAGCTGAAACGATTTCTCCATTCATTAGTCGTTTGCAGCTATTTTGCAAGGCAACTACTGTAAACTGGAGTCAGCTAACCTGGCTCTGTCCAATGGAAAAAAATCCACCTACCAGCTCCTCTTACGCTCACTGATTAACATTTAATATTACCTTTGTTGAATGTGTACAAAACCCGAAGTGTAAAAATGTTCATTTGCCATTTTACAGGGGGTTATGTGCTGGATGATTGCTTGTCCAGTTGCCAGGCAACCAGTGGAGATTCCAGAAAGTTACTCAGGCTAGCTGTCTCTCTCGCGTTTTCATGGAAAGACACACCCTGTGTGGCATTCAAGCTCTATGATTGGTCAGATGCCCATGCTCATGTGAATAGCAGAATTGTTCTGCCATGTGGCAACATTGTGATCTCTTTTATCCTAAACCATGATATTTTCCTAAAGCTAACCAAGAGATTCTGAACCTAACTAAGGTGCAACTTAGAACTGAAGATTATTTAAAAAGCTATACAAATTAGTAAAAAAAAAGTCTAAAAGTGTATCTCAGGGGAATTGAAGTCTCCCAGGTTAAAGTCCTGTATTTAACTCATTCATTCACCCCTACCTTGTTCCTGAAGTTGGACTTTGGCGCCCAGCCAATCCTATTGCTTAAATGCTACGGAGGACATGTCTTGCCAAGAAAAGCCGTCGGATTCATAATTACATGTCTGCCTGTATCCAGTCTTTGTGCTTAACTAAGCTAACTGCCTGCTAGCTTCGTATTTAGTATACAGACATAAGAATGGTATAAATCTTCTTGTCTAACTGGTTTTTGTGAAGTTGTAAATAATTGAATCTGTGTTTTTGAACAACAAGACTTGTGTGATGTTATACTGTATAGATGGCTATGGCTCGGGAGGTAGAGCGGTGGTCCACTAATCAGAAGGTTGGTGGTTTAATGCCCAGGTCTTACTATTGCATGTCAGAACAAACATCAGTGATTGTCTGTTTGTTCTGTGATGGCCTTTGCCATCACTGTATAAATATGCTAAAAAATATAAATTCAAATAATTAAATTAATAGCATAAGCGTTCAAAGAGAAGTACGGTATATTGTGTTTTGTCCCATTTGGTCTTGCGTCCTCTGACAGAGACAAAAGACGACAGAGGTGGGAGACAACAAGGCAGAGAAGTGCTGACTAACTCAGGACATCAGTTCTAATCTGCGTAATCCAGTGGTTACTATGGTCACAGTCTAATAGGGCCTTGTTAAGTATGGCCCATCCCATAATCCCAGCTTTATCCCACCTCAGGACTCTCCACACACAGCCACATAGAGATCACACACAGAGGGTACATAGGAAGTTCACAAAGGGAGGCTTGTCGGGGGGTCTATGTGTTACGACTGCAGCACCTTCCTTCACACAGAGTTAGAAACTTCCACAGCTGGAGATGTGTAGTTTCCTCGTGTCGGCCATGAGACAGTGTCTTCAGATATTAAGTCATCTTGGTTTATTTTGTCATTAAAGTTATGTGTTTGTTCAGGTGGTTGAAGTCCTTTCAGGGAGTTGCAAGGTTCTTTTTTAACATCTTCTTTTCACTGCCAGTGGAGACCCAGAATAAAACAATGCACTTCATATTCAACAGGAAGTGGCAAGTGAAAATGAGATGTGTGAGCATCTCACAGTCTGTTGGCTCTACCTGCTGTCTACTTGGAGAACTACACTAAGCTCCAGTCAGAGCTCTCTTAAAATGGGACGTTCAGTTTTGTCTTCAGCCAAATAGACAAACAGCATAGAGAGGAACTTTACTTCAGAAGCTAATTCAAATGGATAATGCAAAAGCTGGGATTTCAAACCTCTTTCTAGGCCACTTCCTGTCCTATGTCCTACTCGGCATAAGGACCCACTCCCTCTGGAAATAAAACCAGCTCATTTGAAGGTAACAAAAGCACAATTCTTACTTTCAAGTGATTGTACACTCTCTTTCTGCTAACAGATCCTCCTTAATGTTACACACTGGACCATTAAATCATAAATACTGATTAAATAAATACAAAACTTATTTTGTACTGATATTGAACACAGTATGTTCTACATTTTCTACTAAATTACACCACCAAAGAAAATTTAAAGACCTCTTTCCATCAAATACAGCATACACTTAGAAATAAACTGTGACATTAATAGGTGGAGCTACAGTCGTTAATGATAGCTCTGCTCCATGTAAGTATACCAGTAAGCCAAGCCAGTGAAGAAGTATGCACAATAACTGAATTACATCTGCGCTCCTCTAACTAGAGGAGATGTCAGAATGTCTGTTGTGAAAAAGGCCTATTCTGTCTCTATGATTTGGCCTCTCTGTTACATGTTGCCATTATTTCATTGTCATTTAAATAGAGAATGTTTTTATGTATTGCTATTAAATTCCGGTATTAACTCACCAATTCACACATTTCTATGTTTAAGGTTCTATGTATATACATTGTCATAAAGCTATGATTGATTGATTTGTTTGAGTGTCCTGCACCTGGTGCCAAACCCATATGGACTTATGCAACAACCAGGATGGCCACGAATCATAATATCCAGATCCACAAATTTAAAGAGAGAGCATTTCAAAGCATTCGATCATCATGACAGAAATGTCCTGTTATGATAGATACGGTGTTCTCTGTCTTAGTTGCTAAGGCAAAAATCTTCTCATTAAAGAGTCAATTCAACACATTACCTTCAGACAACCACAACAAATTAGGCTTAATAACTCTATTACACTATATATACTAATAATACTCACAATATACTATACGATAGATGTTTTTTTTCTTCTTCCTCTCTCACCCCTGTAGATGGCACTAAACAATTTAGTCAAAATTTTCACAATCTTTTAAAGCACCAAAAGTACCATTAAATATGTTTGATAAATACCACCTACATTCACTCGCATCTGCTTTGGCATAATAAACCATGATCTGATGTTTAAAAAATATATTTTGCCTCATAGTTTACACACATATATATGGTAACTCAAGCATATAGTCATAAAGTCAAGAAAAAAAGAGTGAAAGTTAAATGTTAGTGGTGATTCATTAAGGATTTATTCATTTTAATCATTTCACAGTACAAGCATTTGTTTGGTTATTATTGTGATAAAAGGCTTATTTCTGTTTAATCAATTAACATCCCCACTTAACGGTTACGATTATCATATGGAAGTTATGTAACTGCTATTATTATTTTTTAATGTCAGTGTGTCATGAAAATGTTAAATCTCAAATTCAACACTGAGGAAACCAATATTAGATTAAGACAATGTCACTCAAGTCTAGAAAAAATATAATCTTAATTAGATTTTTCACATTTGCACATTTTTACAATTTACAACATGATTGCACATTTTAGATCAACAGATAGAAGAAAAGAAATCAGAGCTGTTATGTAATCTTCACATATATGTACAGTACAGAGTAATGCATGTTCCACAAGTGAGCACAGGGTTCATGATGACATTTGATGGGTTTGCATAGGTTTGGCTCCTGATGTTTATTTGGTCATACTGGACTTCTCTACCTTTTGTTGTTACTTCAGCAGTTTCCACTGCAGTGCTGTTTCACCTGCGTTTATGGATATGCAGGACGTTGTTACAGGCAGGGCAGGAATGTTCCACATCCTTGCAAGAATCCACACAGAACGGGATCAAACAGCAAGGCCAGCACCTGCATGAGTATCATTAAATTAAGTCAAAATAACACTTTTTTTAAAACTAATTTTCATAGCATTGTGTAGACTATAAATCATCTTAAGCTAGCTCAACTTAAACAGTTCTTCTGCTGCCTTAAAAATGTGAGCTCAGTGAACTCTGAATAGAGCTTTGAATAATTGGTTCAAAGTCATCATATGAGTTTTGAAAATATAAAACCAGCTGAGTTAAGGTCAATAAACTTCAGAGCTTAAGCTGATACACTTGTTACATTGACATATGTCAGTTCTTAATTTAACATTTGAACTGTCGTCACATTGAACCAGAGTTACTTGTATGCCAACATGCCAAGCTGCTCATGGAGCCCTGTTAAATCAACACACTAACCACACTAACCACACTAACCATCATCATGCTTCTCATTGTTTTTATTATCATTAAAAGAAGCCATGGGCATAACATGTATACACACAGCAAGTTTCCATTATCAATGTTTCCCTCAAAGTACAAAAAAGTTCTGCTCTCTCTCAAAAACTGCATGCTGGGAAGTCTGCTATGATTACATTTTTTACAAATGTAATTTAATGAGTTGAGTGAACTTGCAGCAGTACATTGCTCATCATTTAAAGTAAAAAAAAAAAAAAACAACCCAAATTTGTTCCGAAGTGTCCTGAAAATATAGAAACAAGAACATTTAACTTGAATTAACTTAAAATTCATAAAACTTGATATATTTTCGTTAACTTGAGAAAAGATTAGTTGATTGCACTAGATGTCTATATTGTGTTTTATAGTGTGTTCTGAGTTTATAGGGGTGTGTGTGTGTGTATGTTGGGGTTTCTACTCACATGAAGACTCCTAGTAGGCCACAGAGCAGCCAGGTGAGCATACCATTTCTGTAGCTGACTGTAGTGACAACACTGTTTTGACAGTGAGGACACATCATCTGTCCTGGAACATCAGTCGGCAGATGTTGCACCACCACCACCTGGTTCACTGTGAGGAGGACACCCAACAACCTGTAACACCCGCTGATAGTCCACACCTCCTCACCAACCCATCACTAAACTCGAAGCTCTCTGGCTTGCAGTTTCACGCTATATTCTGCAAATTAGAAGTTATTTCAACTTTGAAGAAACTGTTGGAGAGAGACACTCACCGGACTGAACGACCTGAGGTTGTTGTGCGGAGTACTGGTAAGCAGGCTGTTGAACTGGATATGAGAAGGAGACATTTAATTTGAGAAAGGACTAGAACAGAATGATAAACAAGTTGCCATAAGGTAAGAAAAAGAAGAATAACTAAAAAAGTCTTACCAGGTTGGATGCCATGCTGAGGTTGTTGTGCAGAGTACTGGTAAGCAGGCTGTTGAACTGAATATGAGAAGGAGACATTTAATTTGAAAAAGGATTAGAACAGAATGATAAACAAGCTGCCATAAGGTTAACTAAAAGAAGAATAACTAAAAAAGTCTTACCAGGTTGGATGCCAGGCTGAGGTTGGTGTGCTTCCGGGTTAAAGCCCACGGGGGGACCGGGGTATGGCGGTGCTGCCATTCCTGGAGGAGGTCCCTGTTCCTTTTCCATGTTATCTGCTGAGCAGTTTGAGTGGTTAAAATGTGTGACAGACCACTATCTATTTCCACGTTATCACATTTCTGTAAGGTGTGAAAACTTGCTAATCAAGTTGTAGGGCATTTTAAAGCAATGAATGTCTAAGTGTTACAACACCCTAATCAAGATGAATGGAAGAAAGCTGGTTTGGTGTCATTGCATTTTAAACTCAATAGACAAAACTGAAACTATAATAATGTAAGAGTCCCTACTCTAGTCTGACCATTGTTCTGTTCTGTCTTTATGTAAATCATACTTTCATCTCACTGTTGTACCCACAGTAGTACACATAGTAGTGCTAAATGTTGAATATTTCATCAAAAATGTATTTGCATGTTACTTCTCCAACACACCTGTTGCCACCTAATGCAAACAATCTATTGTTGTGGGTTTGTATCGAAACTGCTTTGACAGTGGGGATAGGGGTTATTGAGATAGGTGTTTGTCAAGCATGACTATAAAGACATGTTGTGAGATGTGTGAAAAAGATGTGTGTAGGTGCAAACAAGGTTTACAGCCAAATCTATTGGGGGCTGAAAGAGATCATCAGTGCACTTACACCGAAAGAAAACACCAGCAAATACACAAATCACATGCAAAACCTCACATATTGTACTCGGCATAAGGAAGCACATTGCAAATACAGAAAACACAAGCAAATAGAGATACCACCAGATGCTTGACAAAACAATTTTAACCCAAAGTCCGCTTACTAAATTCTTTTGGGGAGCTTTCAATCACAACTCACAATCTTCATGAGAGTGTAGGAGTTTGTTTTGAGTTTTTCATGTAATTAAAAAACCACGGCCACCACCAGAGAGGATTGTGAGGTGCCACATAGGTGCACCATGTTTGGACAAACCTTTCTGTCAGTAAAGTAAATATAGGAACGGCCTACCACATGCAATAAGGGAGTGCCCTATATATTCCACGTTTAAGACCTATCTCAAACTATTGCTTAAGACAATTTTTTTTTTAAACTGATCGTCTGTTACTTGTGTTTAGTATGTGTAATGTCATTTGCAATGTTTCTGTTACCTGCCTATGGACTATGGATGTAAATCAGCATTTTTGCTGACTTCAGCAAGTTTAAATCTTTTATTTTTATATCAATGTATATTAACATGCTCTGTCCCTATCAAACAAAAAAAGTAACAAGTTACCTTTAATGCTGAATCAGTTAAACCACAATAAACATTTTCAATTATCAATCATGTCCCCAACGAATTTTTGTTGTTGAGTTGTGTTCAGCTTTTCTCTGTTTGCTTGAGTTTTTATTTATTGACTGTTTTCCTCATTTGAATGTGTTTCCTTAAGCTGCATGGATTGAACGCAGGCAGATACAGGTGGCTCACTGAGAATAAAAGGTGGCAATGGCAATGAAAAAAAAGAGCAGAGGTGAGTGAGATAACAAAAGTCGTCTGACCTGTTCTCTGAATCAAAAGTAACTTTGCCACAAACACTGTGCATTGTTAATTATTTGCTCTGCCAAAAAAACTTCTTTGATGATGATTGAATGTATAATCATGTTTAGTGAGCAGTTATAAGATCAAATGTTCACTGTGTGTGTATTTTACCGTCAGTTAATATTTGTTTTATATGTGACAACTGGTAACTGGAACACACATAAAAACAAGCAACACACACACACACACACACACACACACACACACACACACACAAAATTAGGCTTACTCTAGTAACCTCTATTCACCACGAAGTACAAGACATTACATTTACACACGCATATATTTAGCATTCAACTAAAATGGTTGTTTTTTCACATTCAAATTTTTTTTTTAATTGTTCATTTTCTCTGACAGTCTATATAGACAGTCTAGATATAAGGATTAACACACAGAGTGAGAACTATCATAGGCAACCCTTTTCTCAATCTAAAGAACAGTCTGAATATAGCTGAATGAAACCTCCGCAAGCTTTTAGACTCCTGCTCTTTGATGTTCAAGTTCAGAATCATATAAGTCAACAAAATCAGACAAACAAGAAACTTTCAGGTTCTGTTGGCATGCATTATTTATTCGTACTCTGAGCCTATGTATGTATGTTTGTTTTATTTTCAGACGGACAGATGTGTTGCTGCTTACCTTGATGGAGAGGGTATGTGAGAGCCTGGAACCGCTTCTTCCTCTGATGTTTGAGAGTGACTGAGAAGGTCAACAAGGTGAATGAGTATGTGTCAGAGAGAAGGTGGAGCAACATCGTGAAAAAGCAAAGTAGTCATAGGTGTGGATCACACTGTACTTGTAGAACAGAAAAAAAATCACCATTACTTCTTTCTGTGGTATGCAGTCGCATTAACAATTCCAACAAAACTCTTTATTATATTGTTTGTATATTTATTTACTATAGTTTGTGATACAGAATTTGATTACTAGGTTGCATAAAATGTAATGTATTGATCAAAAGTTTATACAAATAATACGTGTGACAAGTAGGAACATGTAGTTACATTAAAAGATAATACCCACCAAGAGGTAAAACTAAAAAACAGCTACAAGACAAAAAATAAATGACAAGAAAAAGGACAAGGTTATCAATTGAAACATTTCATATTCAACTTGTTGTAGTGTTTCAATGTTTGAGACAAACTGTGAGAAACTTTTTAGTGTGCATGCACTATACTGAAGGATATTCTATTTGTGCAAAGGTAAAATTAAAAGTAAATTAAAGGTGTTTACTTACTGTAATCCTAGTGATTTAAAAGAGAAAACTACACTGAGTTAATGCAAACAGATGATATTTATACACGTGTTTATTTTCAGGTGAGCAGTAGCACACAGTAAATGTCACAGGAGCAGCTTTCGTTTTGATATTGAAGGTAATTGTCAAAGCCAGAAGCGCGACATTTGGAAGATACTTTGGTGATTTGAGGAAGAATAAAAAGTCCTCTGAAAGGCTGACATGAGAACACTTTAAACGATAAAGCTGGTGTTGTTCTACATTTTTCTTATTGTCAACAAATCTTATGAAAAGAAAAACAAAAGATGCATTTGTCTGTCTAGAATGTTTACAGCCCCAGGGCCATTCCTGTACATCTTTAATGCTATTAAGAGGATAAATTACTTCCTCAAACAGCAGTGTAGCATTTAGCAAACGTTGTTCAAATAGGTATTTTTAGGGAGACTATTTTCAGTTGTGAATTAATATACATTTTAAACTATAGTGAGTATTTAGCAGCAGGATGGTACATGTACAAGTTACAAACTACGGTGTCTGGGTTTCTTGTAAAGACAGATCACTAGCAACAATTTACTGACGTGTTTTCAAGGTCCAGTGTATAACATTTAGGAGGTGGCAGTGGTGAGCTGTGCGTGAAACTGTGTGAATGTGAGGCAGCCGGGCTTCAGTGTGATGGTAATAAAGGTGCCATGTTTGTACATCACAACAAGTATCCAACAGGAATTCACAGAATTCAGGAATAATGCAGTGCAACAGCGCCAGCAAGGGGCTCAGTGTGACATACAATGAGTTTGACTGTGTGTTTAGTAGGAAGGGTACTCTTCTAAAAAGCTCAAGTTGTCACTCAGATTGAGTTAGTGTCAAAAACCAGTTTCCTGGAAGCTAAATTGCCTGTGTGGTGAGAGGCTGTCTGTGCAGTCCTGTTATTTCAGTAGCCTAAACCTCATTATTTATAGCTTTCGTGCATATCAACGCATTCATCTCATTGTATTTGCATTTTATTCAAGTAAAAAGAGCTTCTATTTGCTTTGAGGTTAATAATAAGGTTCAACCGGCGGATGGAACAGTGGCTAAGGCATTAGCACTGTCACAAACGACTGTGTGGGTTTCCTTCCACTCTATAAAGACATGCAGGTCAGAAGATAGACAGCCTGGACAAGGTTACACCTGAACATGATAAGTGGTTTGAGACATGGATAGATGAGTTGTTCATGTTGAGATATGGGAGATTGTGTCTAAGAACAGCAAAGTGAGGCCAAGAAAGATGTCAGTAACAATAAAAAATGTATAAAATGATTATTGACACTGAATAGTACAAACATGAACTGGTATTTTTGTCATCTCTCGCAGTAGTAATGATTTTCATTATTTGACAGAAATAGCTGTCAATAGGTAGCTCAAATGAGACTGACATATATAAAACAGAGCATCAAAATAATAAAAGAGTAGGAAAAATGTGTTGCAAACGTCTGTCCACTTAGCAGATGAAGTCTCAGAGGGAATGTGTCAGCTAAGTGAAAGAGAGGTGCATGTGGAGCCAGAGTGTACGACACTTTTCTACAGCATATCAGAAATATAATAAAACCAGCTCTGAGGCATCTTTTTTCTATCTTGTATGCTCCCCCTGGTTCTTTCTACATTTTAAAAGAGAGAATGAAAGAGATTATAATACAGAACGCTAATAAAGAGTGACATCTAGTTTGGACAAAATGGTAGGTTTATATTCAGTGTCCCTGAAGAGAGACTGTGGTTTTTTATTTGTTTTCTCATTACTACTCAGAAATTATTTTACAACCTTAAAAAAGCTCATTAAGTTAATGGCATAATTATGCCCCAATTACACAAAACAGTTTGTTTTGTTACTTTGTGATTTCATTAAGCTTTGTTCGTTCATCACATGATCACAAATTATTAATTGCTCCAATTAGACTTTTTATATCAAGATGTTGACAATAAATAAAAACTATAAACATATTAAAACTGTGGAGCATGTTTAGACAGAATCTTGCAGATAAGATAACTGTCTGCAGAAATCTTGTTGCAAAATTTTTCACAGCCTAATTTTATATACTGCATTCTGTCAATCTGTGACATCTGTCATGTGTCGGCCTCATTATAATATTTTGACATCATTCACGTAACACACACAGGAGGGAGAACATGGAGACTAATGTTCATATATATTCACAGATACATTCACACAGGGTGCTGCTGTAGGTGCAAATAGAAATGTGTCTTGCTTTAAGCCGGCTGACAGGACAGATGATAGAAAAATTTATTTCAGAGAGGTCAGAGGCAATATAATGATAACATAACTGAGTAATTTATTAAAACATTGGAAAAGAAGAACCAATCTGTACAAATGAATGAGAGATGTTTGAGAATAATTTAAAGTTCCCTGCTGTGGCCTGTCTGGCTTGTTATTCTAATCCTATAACATGTAACTGTCCAAACTGTCAAAGAATAAACAAAGTAATGTCAGCAGTAGGTCCCCCCCAGCTGTCTTTGCATAATAATAAAAATACAGTCAACAAAATACATGTACATACTACACAGAAACACACAAATTTCATCTTGACTGTCTGAAAATAAAGTGCTGGGTGTCCCAAAATATTTTTGTTCCTCCAAAGTTTATCTCAACTCAACAACAATTTGAAAACCAATGATATATTTTTTTCAGCTGAGGAGTGAAATCAGGTCTTTTCTGAGCCTCTTCTTGGAAAGCTTGGGCAGAGACTGAATGGCCATTGTGTTAATCTTCATTCACTGTTGCTGTCGTGGGCAAAGTCCTTTGAGACATTGTGACATTGGATTATATAAATATATTTGACTTGGCTTGGCATTCATTTTAAGGTGAAACTTTCATCTCAAATGGCAACAACTCAGGTTCGGTGTATTTTCATCAATCTCTTCAAGGTTGCTGCATTTTATCCTGTTATTCTCTACACAACAGGGTGCTAGCAAAAGTTTTCTAAATTCAGCCAGTCATGTCTGTGACTTTTACAATCAATCGTATCTGTTAATCTTATATTAATGCAGTTGGCTTTCAAATGTATGAAGCATATTTTTGTCTTTCTCCCCTAATTGATTGTTACCAGCCACATCTGGAGTTCTCACCTCTGCAGTTACAGCAGAAACCTTTTTTAAAGGACCAGTGTGTATAGTGGCATCCAGCAGTGAAGTTGTAGGTCGTAGCCAACTGAACACCACTTGTGTCGGTATTTGACGATCTGGGAATGAGAGTGGGCTGTGAAGTGTGTAGGAGAAACTATGGTAGCCACGAAACTTGCAAAAAGTGCAAAAGGCCCTATAGTCAGCATTGGTAAGTCCATTCTGAGCATTCCTATAGTCAGGTGATTATAAACTAATGAAAACATACCTAGAAATATTATATTCCATTTCTGCCAGTAGATCCTCCTAACTGTTAGAGACAGGACCTTTAATGGTATGCCACTACTTCTGAAGGGTGTCCTCCTGTGGTTGACATCTACAAAAAGCCCTTTTAGCAAACAGCTGTTAAACCTGGAGTTCAGGATCATTTTGCTTCATTGTTGTCTTTCTTTGGCCTGTGCAAAGTATCCTTCCTGTATCAACTACATATTTTATCAATTTTACCAAGTTCAGTATAAATTTGGAACTAACCCTAAATACAAAACAAAAGTGCCTATAAAAATTTACAAATCTTTACTGAAAATTGCTAAAAATTTTATTATAGACAAATTAAAGGTTATAAAAATTATAGTTTCATTGTTAGACGAAATAGACAAAAAACAGCTGAACGTTTTTTTAAATTAAACTATAATAAAGTCAGCTCTGTGTCAATCAAAGGTCTACATTTAGTTGAGAAACAAAACACTTCATGAGCAGAAAGCAGTTATTTCTGTGTACCAACACAAGGAAAGAAATGTACTTTTTTATTTTGAGCCAGTAGAACGTGGTCCTGGTGTCAATTCAGTTTTATGTGAAATGTTTCTCCTGGATGTCCGGATAATATATCCTTATATACACATATATATTTTTACTGTCTTGTCTTTGTGTGTCTTCTGCTGTTCCACTTGCTTGATCTTTGGCTGTGTTAGCAAAGTTGTTGACTTGCTATTTTTTGGTCATAAGTAATGTAATCATTGCAAATGCACGTGTACAGCTGCCCATATTTAGAACAGTTGTATTGCAAAAAAGGGAACGTCAAATTGCAAAAAATACAAAATTTTACATAATGTTGCTTAAAGTAGAATATTTAAACAGGATTAAAAAAAATGTTAAACCTGAAAAACTCTGTATGCTGTACCCTTTTAAGCCGTGAATAATGTATGCAGGAATTCCTTTTAGGAGGTCTCCTAACACTCACAGCACCATTCACTGTGTTGCTCATTCAGCTCAATTCTTTTTACTGCACGGTGAGCTGAGTGAGATTCAAGTAAGTTTCTGAAACTAGAAGGTTACATACACTGTATAAAAGACACATACGCTTTTTTTTCTCACTGTCTGACATGAAATCAGACAATCACTTTTCCTGTTTTAGGTCCGTTAG